TATATTTTAAACAATTAGAAAATATCAGAGGCCTAGACAACGGGAGCAAGGGATCTAGAACACTTCTAAATAAGTTAGCTTTTAGCAATGGTACAGTCATGTCGCTATATGCTTAAAAAAAACAACCACTTACATTCGGAGAATCATTGCCCATATACAATTTTTCCATTAATACCATATTGGCTATATAAATATATATATATATATATATATATGTATATATATATATATATATATATATATATATATACATATATATATATATATATATATATATATATGTATATATATATATATATATATATATATATATATATATATATATATATATATATACATATATATATATATATAGTCTATATCTAAATGGACTTTTTTTTATATGCCCAACAATTACAAATTCCTGGGACATGCTTCTGGCAAATCATACCAACCTACAAGTGTATTTATTCTCAACTGAATGTGCACTTATTTAGCAAACTATCAATGTCAAAAGAGATGATCTATTAGCTGTACTTGCCACTTTATAGCACTATGTACATATCTGCAGAGCATCCTAGATGATAGTGTTATATAATTTGTGTACAAAATGTACACATATACTTTAAAAATAATTGTCAAATTTTGTGTGCATGTGATTGTATGAATATATATATATATATATATATATATATATATATATATATATATATATATATATATATATATATATATATATATATATATATATATATATATATATATATATATGGATAAAACATTAGGATAGTAGGTACACTATTGCATTTTTTTTTCTCTTAATTACACTTGTTTTTACACACAAGAAAGACTCTGCTACCATTATTTTCCATTTGATTGAGATCATAATTTATCAATCAATTCAACTATTTGTATTAATTGAATGTAACCTATCAATGAGTGCCTTGTTACGAACTGTTTTTATGTGAAAACTGTGGTTATTTTCTTTCTTGCATTATGTCACATGACTTTGTTTTGTTTTCCTTAAATGCATTCTCAGAGTGTTGTTATTCTATGCACATGATAACTGCACTGTCTTGGATATATGACTGTTATAATCTTTAGCTGGGATTTTTATTCGAATATTATTAGGTTTTTGTTTTTAATCAGTGTAAGGGGTTGTTATGTGTACAAATAGATAGGTGTTGTTCTTGTGTCTTAGTTGAACAACTGTTATCTATTTCCGTGATATGGAAACACCAATTTAAAATAAATTTAATTTCAGATGAGAATGGGGAAAGCAAGCTTGTATAATATAGAGTGATTGTGTGCCAAATAGTCAAAATAAATGTGGCCAAATTTATGTAATATTTTATTGACAACTTTTTTTAATAGTTGAACTTTAATTAGCTTTTTAATTAAAAATGTCTAGGAATCATAACACAGCTTAAATTTATATGAAATTCGTTAAAAAAATGAAAATGAATTTTCATTTTAATTGAGATTATGACAATTTGAAAACCTGATTATTTGAAAATTAAAGTTACCTAATATCTAGTTTTGTTTGTAAAGGTAATAAATTTAAGAAAAAAAATTAATTGTGAAAAAAATGGTACTTTCAATATTTAGATTGTTTTCTTTTGCTAATTCATCCAAATCCAAATTTTTAATAAACAATTCAGCTATTAAAAAATCTCTTTCCAACAGAAAGCTTGAACTCATGTTTCTTAACTGGCAGCAAAGTGATACTGTTAGTTCACACGAGTTTCTTGATTTCAAAGGTTTTAGTTTGTCTTGTGACTGTCATTTTGACTTTTCAATGGTAGTTCACACCTGACTGTGATTGAGTGATTCCCCTTGCTAAAATGTCAAATGTCCAACATGTTATTCATGTCTACAGATATTGTTTAAAAAAGGACAAAGAGACAACTGCCATTAAAAATAATAATTGATCATTATTATATTAATAAATTAAATAAAAATGAATGGTAATGTAAACCACTGGTAACATGAAAACTTGCCTTCTTCACATAATTCTTCCTGAGTCTTTTCATGAATAGAGATACTTCTTAAATATATTTCATGATGTTTCCATGCATAGTTAAAATACTCAATTATTTTAAAAAATATTTTAAAAATAAAATTTAATCAGCATCTTTTTTCTCATTAGGGAAGCAAATAATTTTTTTTTTAATTCTCATAGTTGAGTGTAAAGACTTCTAATATTTCAATAGAAAATAATTTGGCTTAACCTAAATATAGATTGCTGATAAAATAAATGGATGTTAATGGTATAGAAGTTATTTTCTATAAGATGTTAATGGATGTAGTGGTTTCCATTTAAAATCAAATTTGTATGTTTAATTAATGAATTTTTTTTACATAATACAATTTAATTATTTGTATCCCACAATATATAAATGTTACTATGTCCTGCAACCTAGTAGTAACCTTTAAGTCGTTAACTATTTTTTTTGTAGATGAGATAGCATGGCATCACTCTTGTAATTTGCGTTTTGTTACTTATTTATTAGAGGTTTGTTTTTACAAAGCTAATTTTCATTGTTTAAAACTATATTTTTAACTACCATTATTGTTTGAATAAATGACAACACAAAATTCTACTAATGACAACTTGTGGTGATAGAGTAGGATCACAGAATATGGGACCAAGATCCACATTTTATAATTTTTTTCAAAAGATAAATAAAAAATTGATGAGAAAAATATGAACTATAACAGTTTTTATTATTATATTTTTTTACACCAACACTTATAGATATTGCAAACAAAAAATTTTTTTCATAAAAGGTTTCAAAATTTTAAAGACAAATGTCACCATCATTGTTGTTAATATTTCTAGTAATGATAACAGTTGCTGGAAATCCTTTATTAGTGATAATGTCTAAAAGTTTAGTCATTTATTTGTTACATTGTTTAAAATTGTTATTTTCTTATTTATAGATTGAAATAAATTTTCTAAAGGCTGTTTGAAGTAATCTGGGTAAATTATGTTTTTTTTATTTATATGTGTGCAATATTAGTAATTATTCATACATTAGTATTACACTTATGATAAAGGAGATTTGCTTTCAATTAATTAAAACATTTTAAACGTTTTATTTAATTTTTGCTTTAACATTGCTTTTTAAATTTTATTAAAACTTTTCCTTTACAGCTGTTTGATGTGCAATCATTATCTATTTTTTAATTATTTAAATCACTAATTAGATGGTTGATTTTTTTTAAAATAACATAACTGATGTATTTAAAAAATTATATCTGTAAATATATTTAGACCATTTTTTGTGATCTGACATTTGTGATGAAGCCTGCTAAGTGAATGGTATTTAAAAGAAATCTGTTGATTAGCTTTTTTGTAAATTATCGTAAATTTTATATTATGTAATTTATTTGTTGAAGGCTGAAGTAATTATTTTTCAAATATTTAAAAGTGATAGAAAAAAGCCTTACTGTTTTCAGCAAAATATATGAAAGGTTTTCTTTTTAAGTGGATAAAACTAGTTATGTTTTAAATGTGTTTATATGGTCATTATGTTTTCTTCCGAAAGAGTGTTTTTTAAGTATATTTATAATATTTTCTAATGTTCTTGTAAACTCCAGTATTTAGAATGTATGGTACCCAGCACAAATTCCAGTATATAAAATGCATTAGGTCTCTGATTTAGCTTTTAAGGATCAAAATCTAGTGTTTGATTCTTTTATAAAAAGGGGAAGCTACTAAAGACAAAATGTTAATGCAAACAGCTAGTTAGTATAATTTTTATAAGAATAATATAAACTATGAAATATATTCCCCATATATACTCCATTTGAATTATGTATTTATATTTTTAAAAGGATATTTAATCATTCTTGTAATTTAATCCATTCAATAATCCAGTAGTCAGTTGAGTGATTTTAAATTTTTTTTTTTTTAAAGTGGTCTAGGCAATCTGATGGTGTGAAAATCTGTTAGGTTTTGAGGTAAAATGACTAACATATCAATTTTTTAACCAGCCATCACCACAGTTTAGCCTTGTATATAGAGATTAAAATCTTGTTTTATAAGTGAGGCGTGTTTGGGCCTTATGATAGTCTGGTTGAATAAAGTTTTGAATGTTACAATGAGCATTTATTTTTCTTGAACACGATCTTTGTGTGAAAATGTTCAGTTCAAAGTTTATTGAATCAAAGGCAAGTTAGATTCAGCTGTTGTATTAGTTTATTAATTTATTCTAATTTGCATTTTTTTTTGTGGTCAAGTTTACTCAAAACTAAGAAAAAAAGATTGCTTTGTAAAAACAAAATGCTGACTCATTAAACTTGAACTAATGTAACAGCTGTATGACTGGAACATATGACCGAGAACTAGAAATTGTCATGTCATGGATTGCTTTTTTGTATAGTGCCAATTTTAGCTTTTTTTTTCTCAATTTCCAAATGTAAAGAATGTCCCCCACACTATAATAACACTTATTATGCAGGTTTTGTTCCTGATTAATTTTTTTTTGTAAGGAATGGATTATTAATGGTATTTATAATTACATAGAAAATGTTACTGGAATAGAAGTGTGAATCCAATTGCATGAAGAGGTGGATGAGATTGAATGAAAAAAATAATAAACATAATAAAATTTAAATTGCAGTATTAATGGATTTTTTGTTGTTTTTATGTGTGATGAAAGAGTTGATGAGGGTGTTGATATGATGTGGGTTGTGATGGTGCTGTGGCTCCATCTGTAAAGGCTGGTGTTTAATATTAGTTCTCTGAAATAGCTCTTTATTATTGTCATCTTGATCAACCATGTCTTTATATCATTATTATATACAATATTAACTCACACTGGTTGTGATAAGAAACTGTTAAATATAGTATGGTGTATGCAATACTCTATAGCAGTGTTTGAATCATTATACTGAAAGCTGTGTCCCTGAATACTTGTATAATAAGTCTCACTGATTACAAAGAATAAGTTTTTAAAAGATTACCTATTAATTAAAGGCTACTATTGTGAAATACAAATGACAACTCAAAGACATAAGATTCCAACAAAATTTATTGCATAGACTAAACCACAGCTATGAGAAAGAGTGTTCAGCTGATGCGTGATCAGTCGATGTGTTCAATCTTCTGTAGCATTATTTGTTTCAATTCATTTGGTTAAAAGAAAGTTTTTGTTAAGAAATAAACAAATTTGGTTCGTACTACACTAATGAACTTTGAGTTACATACATTTTATATACAAAATTTATGAACAACAAAACTTTAATTATAACTAATTAATCATTATTGAAACATGAAGAGTAGCTTTTTTTAAACTCTATAGACTATAATATAAAAGATCTCTTCCTTTTGAGCAAACTTCTTCAGCAGTCACATTTTAAAAAAATAATAATTGTTAAAAGGCATATATTTTCAATTAAATATCTTTTTTTTAAAACACGACTTATTTTTTACAAAATTTTATATCCAGAATTAGTGCAAAAGTATGAAGCTAGAAATTTAGATTATTATATTATTAATTAAGAGTCAAATTATTTGAGTGAAATAATGATTATGTACTCTGAATTGACTAGAAACTGAAATATTTAAAAATGAAATACTTTAGCTTTTATTTTACAAATGATAGACAAGACTGACATCCCCATTCACACACTGAATCTGAGCATATTCATTTCACACTCTCAAGGCTTAAGCAGATTTCCATAGGAAATTAAGGACACAAAGGTACAGCTGTGATGCTGTTTAATCTAGCATCTTCTTACAGGCTCCTTCAACAATCTCTTGTTTGATATTCTCCAGATCAGTGAAGTCATTTGCCTGAAACATTTGGACAACCATTTGTAAGAGGAAGTACAAAATGATATACAGAAAAAAAACTGGAATAATTATTAAAAAGTACTAGACTTAAATAACAGAGCTAACACATAAATTAGTCATCAAATAGACCTATATATTTTCAGTAGCCCATACCAGATGAGTGTTCTCATTGGATGCTAGCTTCTGGCATTTATTAGCTTCCCAACTGGCTTTATTTATTCAACTACAGTTTATTTCTAGAACACCTTGCATTAACCCACTAATAAGACATCTATTTTCACGACCATTATTTCTCCAATACTTGTTCGGTCTTTATTTTTGTCAATAACAAAACACTTAATTAAAACTACCATCAATGAAAAAGCTATTCAATAATTTTAAATTTTCTGTAATTTCAAGGTGAACTTTAAAAATAATTATAATGTTTATCATCATCTTTTCCTGTTCATGCCCAAGACACATGGGGCAGATGACGTAGAGTTTATCTGTTTCGTAGACCTTGGCATATGAGGGATAGTGTAGCCAGCCACCTTAGTTTTCCCTAATGTGAGTTAAGTACCCATCAGCGCTGGGCGGACTCAGGGACTTTCTACTGACTTGAACCTGGACTCAGACTCAAGGCTTTCGGGTTAGTAGTTTAGCTCTCTACCGCTAGACCACACCGTCTTATATAATGGTTATAGTATACAATGCAAGAAGCATCATTACAACACAATCTAACACAGCCATAGTCAAGACATCATCTGTAGGACAAAGTAAAAAGTAAAGTTCCCTTTTCAAACCTGACGGCCTATAGGGCAAGTGAAGTAGAGTTCACTTGTTTCTGTGACCTCGGCATATGAAGAGATAGTGGTCAGCACTATGCCCAGTCGCCTTTACTTTCCCTTACGTGAGTTAGGTACCCATCAGAGTTGGGTGGACTCAGGGACGGTCTACTGACTTGAACCCAGATTTGAACTCGAGACGGACAGGTTAGCAGTCCAGCTCTCTACCGCTAGACCACTCCGTACCCCCCACACACAGTATGGCGCTACTTATTTCTGTAAATTCAATTCAATTTTTTCAATTAGAAAATACAACTTACAGTGTAGACATCCCCTGCAGAAGATGCAATAGCCTTAATTTCAGCATAATCTTTCAGCCCAATACCAATGGTGATTACTTTGGCATCTTTTCCCTTCAGATCTTCTGCTGCAGGGATAGTGTCCATGTAGTTGAGATTACTCTGGCCATCGGTCAATAGGATGGCAATGTTTCCAGCTGTTACACGATCCCCTAGGTCTAGACAAATTAAAGAAATTGCACTTGTCAAAATTTTTACTAAAACAAAAGTTTAGAAATTTTATTAGAACTGTGTACAGCCAGGAATTTATACAAATATTAATTGGCATCATTATAATACAAAACAATTAGAAGTTAAATCAAAGCAACAAAAATGTATTAACATTAATAACAAACAAAAAGTTCAAAACATGAATGTCAATATGCAATTTACACATAAAACTAATATCATTATCTAAATGATTTTATTTTTTATTTTACAGTAGGCCTGTTCTAAGACTGCCCGGCTTCCAAGAATTTTTTGTACCAGAAATAAGAAGTTACTGTAATTGATAAAACAAATTGAAAGTTTGGGTATCCTAGTAACCTTGTTACAAGGCTGGTCAAGAAACAGCCTGTCACAGCCCCCCCCCCCCTCCCCACCCCAGCAAAACTCACCAGACTGGTACAGATTAATAGCTTGTCTCAGCCCCCCCCCCCCCCCCCCCCCCCCCACCCCAGCAAAACTCACCAGACTGATACAAGTTAATAGCTTGTCTCAGACCCCCAGCTGTGTTGGTGGATCCTGCGGTGTAGACTGTGGTCTCTACAGCGTTGATTACATCCTTATGGGTGCCGTATCTGCTCAAGCTGAAGGCTGTCTTCACCTCTGTACTGTAGGTAACCAGGGCAAACCTGTGTTCAGTTCCGCCAACAGTCAGGTCAGTCACCAGCGCTGAGACAAACTTGAGCATCAAAGCAAAGTTCCTGGGTCCTACACTGGAGGAGGAGTCCAGTATGAAGATGATGTCCTTGTTTTCCTGGCAGTCTAAGGGAGAGTTTCAAAACCATTTGAACACATGATGGTAAGATAAAATAGATAAATGCTCAATGGCAATCTAAAGGAGAGTTTCAAAACCATTTGAACACATGATGGTAAGATAAAATAGATAAATGCTCAATGGCAATCTAAAGGAGAGTTTCAAAACCATTTTAACTCAGAACAATAGGATAAAATAGATTAATGCTCATGGGCTATCTAAAGGAGAGTTTCAAAACCATTTTAGCACAGAACAATATGATAAAATAGATTAATGCTCATGGGCAATCTAAAGGAGAGTTTCAAAACCATTTTAATTCAGAACAATAGGATAAAATAGATTAATGCTCATGGGCAATCTAAAGGAGAGTTTCAAAACCATTTTAATTCAGAACAATAGGATAAAATAGATTAATGCTCATGGGCAGTCTAAAGGAGAGTTTCAAAACCATTTTAACTCAGAACAATATGATAAAATAGATTAATGCTCAATGGTAATCTAAAGGAGAGTTTCAAAACCATTTTAATTCAGAACAATAAGTTAAAATAGATTAATGCTCAATGGTAATCTAAAGGAGAGTTTCAAAACCATTTTAACACAGAACAATATGATAAAATAGATTAATGCTCAATGGTAATCTAAAGGAGAGTTTCAAAACCATTTTAATTCAGAACAATATGATAAAATAGATTACTGCTCATGGGCAATCTAATAAGCATAGTCACAAGTCACAACATAATTTTAACACACATGTAAAACAAAATACAATTAATCAACAGTAATTATTATGTTGTGAACTTCCCTCTAACAGACAAGGCCCACCTCTCAGAGCCTGCCACATTAAACTGACGTAAAAAAATGAAAGACTTACTGAATTGACAGAGCTCTCCAACATAACCAGGTAAACATTCACATGAAAATTCACCCACTCCAGCCACACATGTTCCTCCATTCTGGCAGGGACTTTCCAAACAAACATCGTCATCTTAAAATAGAAAGCAGTATTTTAGTCATAAACAAACATCGTCATCTTAAAATAAAAAGCAATATTTTAGTCATAAACTAACATTGTCATCTTAAAATAGAAAGCAGTATTTTAGTCATAAACAAACATCGTCATCTTAAAATAGAAAGCAGTATTTTAGTCATAAACAAACATCGTCATCTTAAAATAGAAAGCAATATTTTAGTCATAAACAAACATCGTCATCTTAAAATAAAAAGCAATATTTTAGTCATAAACTAACATTGTCATCTTAAAATAGAAAGCAGTATTTTAGTCATAATCAAACATCGTCATCTTAAAATAGAAAGCAGTATTTTAGTCATAAACAAACATCGTCATCTTAAAATAGAAAGCAATATTTTAGTCATAAACAAACATCGTCATCTTAAAATAAAAAGCAATATTTTAGTCATAAACAAACATCGTCATCTTAAAATAGAAAGCAGTATTTTAGTCATAATCAAACATCGTCATCTTAAAATAGAAAGCAGTATTTTAGTCATAAACAAACATCGTCATCTTAAAATAGAAAGCAGTATTTTAGTCATAAACAAACATCGTCATCTTAAAATAGAAAGCAATATTTTAGTCATAAACATCGTCATCTTAAAGTAAAAAGCAATATTTTAGTCATAAACAAACATCGTCATCTTAAAATAAAAAGCAATATTTTAGTCATAAACAAACATTGTCATTTTAAAAATAAACAAACATTTTAGTCATATACAAACATTGTCATTTTAAAAATAAAGCAAATATTTTAAGTGTAAGCCATAGTAATATTAAGTTAAATATGTTCTTAACTTTAATAACTTATCAATACTTTCTTGAATAAAACAACAATAGCAATGTTAAGCTAAACACCAATATGTTCTTAAATTTAATAACATTATCAATATTAAGCTAACATATAACTATGTTCTTAAATAACAAGAGCAATATTAAGCTAAACACAAAAATATGTTCTTAAATTAAATAACACTAATATTATGCTAAACATAAAATTATTTCTGTAAATTAAATTACCATAGCAATATTAAGATAATTATGTCAATAAGACCTTATATTAAAAAAATGACAGCCATGATAAGATAATCATATCAATATGTTACAAGAGAAATAACATCTATTATGATTTTAATAATTTTAGAAAAATGGGAGGGTGGGTTAGAGGTGGGAGAAATGTGTAGTTTAAGAAGTAACAAGGCCAAAAGTTGCTAACTGTGAACCTACCTCTGCAAGTACCCTTAATGAGTTTATCAGAAATATCCCACAAATTTTCCCAATTTTTCAACCTGAAAACGTTATTTTCAGGTGGTGAACTGGCAATTCCTTTCAGCTCCCAGTCATCAGCAATGTCAACACCAATAGCAAATACGTGAATTCCCTGCTTGCGGGCCAGTTCTGCTTCAGGTAAAGTGGCTTCATGATTCACATTGGACATGCCATCTGTGATCACAATCACTGAGAGAAGAAAGTTTGAACATAAATAAACACTGGAAATCTCTTTTAATTCTGAAAACTGCATAGTTGAATAGAAAACTGTAACGCAAGTTTAAAAAACCCAGTTTGTTTATTTTTTAATTATATTAAAAATAAAGTAGTTTTTACTATTTTGAATAGTGTAAGAAATTTTATTTTTGTTTAATTCTCCCTTAAAAAAAAACTTCCTTTTCAAAAGATCAACAATCTTCTTAATGAGTTAAAAAAAATTTAGTTGTAGGACAAAATACAATTTAACTATCCATAAAACTTTTACAAACAATTTTAGATTGTTGTAATTAATCTTTAAAATAATTAATTTATCTAATTATTTTTCTTTATAAGCAAAACAACAATATATAATTTTGACATAAGAAAGATAACTCACAGAAATCTGGGACATTTGGTCTGTTTCCTTTATTGATAGAAAACAAGCTGGACCTTACTAGTTTGATACCAGATGCAGTGTTTGTGTTGCCATACTCATAGGAGATGCCACTGATAGCAGCTTGAAGTTTTCTCTTGTCCTGACAGACACAAGGTAAAGCAATAGCCAGATTTTTAGATTAACATTTTGTTTAGGTTAATAGTGGCATACACAATTCAGAATATATAGATCTAAACCGTACAAAGTCAAAAGTAAAAAATGTGGGTTTACAGCAAAAACAGAACAAATAATTTACATCTTTCAGCTATAAATCCGGGGGACTTTAATAAATTTTAGCCTTTTATTATTTCTTTCATCAGTTAAGTAAGATATCAAGAAAAAAAAAGAACCAACCAACCTGGAATGAGTTGAGGTAGATTTCAGCCCTGCTGTGTTGACTGAATGTAGCCACACCCACTTGAGTGCTAAAGGGGCCAATGTTGAAATTGTCAACAATGTCGTGGATGTAATCCTTGATGCGACGGAAATTTTCTGCACCAACACTACCACTGGAGTCAATGAGGAAGACCACATCAGCTTGGTCGTTACACGCTGAAATTAGTGTTTGAACATTATCAATTTAATGAAGAGTAGATCACACTGAAATTTGGGTTTGAACATTATCAATTCAATGAAGAGTAGATCACATGCTGAAATTTGGGTTGGAACATTATCAATTCAATGAAGAGTAGATCACAGGCTGAAATTTGGGTTGGAACATTATCAATTTAAAGAAGAGTAGATCACAGGCTGAAATTGGGGTTGGAACATTATCAATTTAAAGAAGAGTAGATCAAACACTGAAATTTTGGTTGGAACATTATCAATCTAATGAAAAGTAGATGTTAACAACATAGAAATTGATTCCAACAAAGAGATTAAATAAATCAAAGATGGGTTTTATTAACTGCTTTATGTCACTACATTTTTTCGAACATATATCTAATTTAATCATTATTACGTGTTGATGTATTTAAAAAATCTCAATTAAGAACAAAAAATTTCAAGATCGTTTAGTCTTTTTAGTTATGAAAAAAGTATCTAATGCAAAGCAATATTAAACTATTTAAACTATTTTTAGAAAATTAGTTTCTGTTCCTCACCTAACATGAAATCACAGCTAAGGGAAGTAACTCACCGTTTTCACAATTCTTGCCAGCATAGCCAGGTTTACATTGGCATACATAGGATTTCTGTCCATTTTCACAAACACCTCCATTCTCACATGGATTAGCTTTACAAGCATCTTTTGCTGTAAAATTGAAAACAAAATAATTTTAGCCAATGACAGGTTTTATTACAAATTGTAATCTCTTATGCAAACTAATAATAAATATACTTAGATATTGAGATAGAAAAGTTTGGCTTAAAAAATACATAGGCCTGTACAATAAAATTTTGTGGGTTTTTTTAAAGTGACAATATCATTGGCTATAATCATCAATATAATAGGGCCCAGTAGCTTATTTGCTGGAAAAAAATTTCAGACATTAACTAATCTTTATTATTTGAGAATAATTAAAGTCAAAGAAGATTAAGACTTAATTTAATCTATCTGCTGGCTTATTGAAAGTTTTAAATTAGATTGTACCTTCACAGAAGAAATTTAAAAAGTTTTCAGCAAGTGTATCCAGGGTTTCAGCCTTATCTGTCAAGTAGGCGTTGTCGCTAGCTGGAGAGGACACCGCGGACTCCATCATCTGCCTGTCACTCTTGCTGAGACCAACACCTACAACAAAATAAATCATCTTGTTCAATTCCAAAACAAGACTTTTTTTATTCTTAAATCAATTACAATGTTTTTGTAATTTTATATATCATGTTACATTTTTGCCACAATTATTAAAATAATAATCTACATTGTAAACTAATGCATTTTACTAATGCGATTATTTTAAACACACTTAAAAAAAGTTTAATAGCAAATCCAACATACCAACACCAATAACCTTAGTGCCCTTAGATTTCAGGTCGTTGATTGCTTGAATGGATGACTCGTCCTCAAAACCTCGTGACACTAGAACCAAATAGTTTGGCACTTCAGATCTGTCACCAAACTTTCCAAAGAGACTAGATGATGCCATCCTAATAGCATGGGCAGGCTTAGGATCTCCTTCAGTTCTCCTGTAAACATAATATAGTAGCCAGCACTGTATACACATTTAATTGGAAAATATACTACAAACAATGCTATGCTAATTTCATTCCAGTAGATTTATTGCTTTTTGTAATAATGTTGCAACCTTGTTTAAATAAAATAACACTCATATTAAAACAGATCATTTAAGAAATTTTTTTAAAAATTTCATTCTTTATAGATTCATCTGCTTAAAGTTTCATATCCATTAATAATCATATAAGAGCTGGGAATTTTCTCAATCACTTTCTCAAGTCAGTAACAGACTCTAATCAAAAGCCTATAAGGAATGAATATTAAAAAAAACAAAATATGTAAAAGACCATTGCAATCAAATCTGAACAAAAATTCAGCAGGTGAAAATGTAGCTACCTGAGAGAGCCAAACACAGCTTTAACCACCCTTCTGTTGTCTCCTTCTAATAGATCAAGTCGCATTCTGGGATATGAACCATACTCTACAATACCAACTCTATAGTTATCATTCCTGAAGGTCAGCCTGTTGGCTGTATCTTTCAAGAAACGTTTGATGGCTCTAAATTCTGGACCAGAGTTGTAGCGGGAGGCATCCACAAGGAACACAATATCTGCCTTTGTATTGCACTCTGAAGGGTGATAAAAGGTAGTTGTTATTATGGTGATGAAAAAGAACACAAATAGCAAATCGTACAGACAAGGTGTTTACTTCTAGTATTTCAAATGTACAGAAATAAAACTCAAGCAAAATTCTTGCAAAACAGCTAAAAAAAATTATATTATTATATTAAAAATGTGAATTATTATATTACTGTATTTTCCATATTGTGGGACAACGTGGCCAAGCTAACCCGACAAGTTTGAATCAAGGTTCAAGTCAGTAGAATGTCCCTGAGTTCACTCAGCTCACTTAGTGAAAGTAAAGGCGGCTGGGCATAGTGCTGACCATATTATCCCTTCTTATGCCAAGGTCACAGAAACAGGTAAACTCTACTTCATTTACCCTATGGCCCATCAGGTTCAAAAAGGGAGCTTTAATTACTTTACTTTTCTCCATATTAAATTAATTTCATTACTTTTTAATATATCAAAATGTGAAGTATTAAATAAAGCTGTACATCAGTTTGTCTTTGAATGCTTCAAACATTCCTTCTCAACTGTATAACATACCTTTCTCACAGTTAACGCCAGAAAATCCAGGCTTGCATTTACAGACATAGCCAAGTGGCTCATTATTGCAGTCGCCTCCATTCTGGCATGGATTGGGTTTACACCTGTCATCACCTGTAATAATTGGTAATCTAAAAATTGACTTCACTGCTAAAACAATTTTTTAAAAGAAATTTTTAAAAAGAAAGAAATACTATTCTTTTTTAATTGATTTCCTTGAGATTATGTTAATTTTATGACATGAATGATGATAAAACATTAAATGGTCACAAGGAGTATATATGTTGGATATAGATTTTATTTTACAACTGTTATTTCCTTTCATGGTGTTATTAATTATTTAATATTCATGCACAATATTAATAATTTACTATATCAAGTAAGTTTCAATGGCAAGAATATAATTCTTTTTCTAGAATGAAATTATCACTATCTCAACACAAAAACAACAAAAGGTATCAATCAAATCAATATTTATTGTTAAAGTTAGTTGGCCTACTTAAATAGATATAATTTTTGCAGAACTATATTAGTCATTAAGTATAACTATCTTCATTAAAATTATCAATGTATGGTTAATAAAAGCAATGTTAAATCAAACATGTAGTAGTTTTTGCATTAAAATTTTTGTTGAAATATATAAAAATATAACCACCTAGGCCTACATAAATGTTATAGCACACAATTTTAGTTTAGAAATTAGTTTCTTTCACAAGCTCTTGTAAGTATGTTATTTTTGTTTGAACAGGTTGTTATGTTTTTAATATATCAAGCAGTATTATTATTATTTCATTGGGTTAGACTAGTATTATCTTAGAAAACTAAAAATCTACAAGGCACTACAAACATAGAGTTTAATATGTGCATTGGTTCAATTCAAATGACAATATGAACTAGTAACTTTTCCAAATATCACTTTGTGAAAATTAGTGATAAAATTATGTGTGATGGGAAAAAAATTAAATTGGATGAGTTTTAAAATATTTATGTAATGTAAGGGAACTGTTGGGAGGTATATGGAGATTTCAGGGAATGAAAATTCAAACGGGTATAGATGCAGTTACAGTCATAAGGTCAAAATAATAATTTCACCAAAATAATTTTTTAAAAATCAATATATTTATGTAAGTTACTTAAAAAAATTAAGATTACCAAAGTTGTTAATATAAAAGCATTTAATAGAATGTAGTGCAGAAAAAGGGTGAAGTAGTGAATTTTCTCTTACATGAATGTAGTTGACAGTTTCTTAATTAAATAAGTCAGTTGCCAATGTGTTAATAGTTAAAAAAAAATTTCATGTCTAACACACGTGTGAAACTGACCCAATCAATTAGAAACTGCCAGCACATAATGCTAATGGAATGAAAAATGTATACCTGTTCTACCTGGAGATAATGAGATACAAAATGTATGATGATTATGATGGACAAATAGTGAAAGTAAGAAAAACAATTTTCCAACTTGTAAACATTTGTTATTGTTCACTTGATGAACTCACCAATGTATATACACAAGTAAAGGAAAGATGAAAATAATACAATGATTTGTTACATATTTGTTATATATACAAGTTGTAAGGAATAAGCAATTTACTTCATTAAGTTGTGAAATAGTGTATGTTCAAATTTATATTATTAAATTGGAGCTGATGAAATTTGTTTATATTAGATACTAACATTTTTAAAAAAATATTTTCTTATAACTATTATTATTTATTATCAACAAGATATTAATTTGGTCAATGTCAATATTTTAAATAAGTTAGACAGTATTTTGGTCAATGTCAATATTTTAAATTAATATGACAACAATTTGGTCAATGTCAATATTTTAAATTCATATGTCAGCGATTTGGTCAATGTAAATATTTTAAATTAATATGACAGCAATTGTTAGTAAAAACATCAACAACTTACGGTCAGTAACTGCCTCCAAAACCTGGTCCATTTGCAATTTCAAGTTCTCTTCATCTTCAATCTCAATGTATGAGATTTTCTGTGACTGAGCAATAAACTCAATCTCTGTCTTGTCTCGTACTGCCACAGCCAGGGGGATGATACGAACACCAGCATCAATGGTCAGCTCTATTTCAGCTGGGGTGATGTCACGATTGATCTCCACAGTGCCGTCAGTCAGCAGGTATGCAATGTTGCGGGCCTCAGGCCTGTATAAAGATTATTTCAACACTCTACTATATTTGGTGCAAAATTTTAGACTGAAGCTAGATAGTAGAATGTTGCGAGCCTCAGGCCTGTGTTAAGATTATTTCAACACTCTACTGTATTTGGTGCAAAATTTTAGACAGCTAGATAGTAGAATGTTGATAGCATCAGGCCTGTGTAAAGATTATTTCAACACTCTACTGTATTTGGTGCAAAATTTTAGACAGCTAGATAGTAGAATGTTGCAAGCCTCAGTGTAAAGATTATTTCAACACTACTGTATTTGGTGCAAAATTTTAGACTGAAGCTAGATAGTAGAATGTTGATAGCATCAGGCCTGTGTTAAGATTATTTCAACACTCTACTGTATTTGGTGCAAAATTTTAGACAGCTAGATAGTAGAATGTTGCAAGCCTCAGTGTAAAGATTATTTCAACACTACTGTATTTGGTGCAAAATTTTAGACAGCTAGATAGTAGAATGTTGCAAGCCTCAGTGTAAAGATTATTTCAACACTCTACTGTATTTGGTGCAAAATTTTAGACAGCTAGATAGTAGAATGTTGCAAGCCTCAGTGTAAAGATTATTTCAACACTCTACTGTATTTGGTGCAAAATTTTAGACAGCTAGATAGTAGAATGTTGCAAGCCTCAGTGTAAAGATTATTTCAACACTCTACTGTATTTGGTGCAAAATTTTAGACAGAAGCTAGAGAATTAAATGCTTCAATGATGTCATTCAAATATATTGAGCTGCTTTTTTTTCTTGACTTATAGTTTTATTCTGTTTGTTTACACTTTCATTCTTTGAAACCTGCATCAGATACCTTTAAACAAGACACAAACAGTTATGTGTTTTAGTAAGTCAGTGTCCTAGCTGTAAGCTTGAAGATTTTTATCCCCTAAAATCCAAAGTTGGAAAACTTAAGATTATACCAACAAAGGTCGAGAGAGGAATCTCAATGCAAGGTAACTCATGGTCTCTTTATGTAACACTCTGGTACTACACATCCTGAGGCTTTCACTACTCTTTGAGCACCTGGTGCAGTGGTTCTTAAACTTATTGGAGGTAGACAACGTCACCCGTTTTACATGCGCATTCACTGAATCCTTAATAGTTACATCTTCTGCACTGGTAAAATCTGATCGTGAATCCTGAGACTGACTCACTGAACCCTTGGAGTCCAATCAACCCCAGGTTAAGAAACACTGATCTAGTGTCTCCTAAGGCAAAAAGGAGCCAAACCCATGTCAGACTGTGGTTGAACTTTCTTGTAACAAAAACTTACATTAAACAGAAATCTGCAACTCAATAATAACCCACCCAGTGCTGAAGTAGGTGTAAACACTTCAGCTGTAATTGCAATGTCTTAATTTAGTTAAACTGGAAGTAAATTCAAGCTCAATCTAAACAGGTTAAGATATGTGATAAATTAGAATAGAAACTCCAAAATCAAACAACTGCTGCCTTGTAGTTTGTTCTTGGTTGGACAAAGGCTATGGAAGCAAATCCAAAAAGAAAAGCAGGCTGAAATCGGAGTCAATGGCCTCAATGGCACATAAGTAGTTGACATGTATCCTTAATTGTGATGGAGGCGTGGTCGAGTCGACTAAAGCTCATGGTTGGTAAATTCGAAAAAGTCTCAAGTTCAAACCCTCTTGCAGATAAGGCCCGATCCCTCCCAACACTAAAAATTAAGAACGAAGAAGAAGAAGAACAGAAATCTAATCTTATGAGTTTGTAATGTGAGTAAATTCCTTACCTGTCACCATTTCTAGAGTTGAACATCTGTGTGTTGACAACTCTAAAGGCCTCAGCCATGTTTGAACTACCAGGTGTGTAGCTTATCTCCCCTATTCTTCGAACCACTTCCTCCTCTGAACGGGTTCCAAGATTGAACTGAATCATGGCAGCTGAACTGTACTTAATGACACCAATGTTAATGGCGCAGTCTTCAATATGCATATCATCAATCATTCTTTGGGCATAGGTCTTAAGTGTCTGGAAAATGCCAGGTCCAACAGATGAAGAGGAATCCAATATGATGACAACATCAGAAGTTGGTCCACATTCTACAATAAACAAGCCAGAGTTTAATGGCTAAATAAAATAAAAAATTATAACAAAAGGGAGGGGTCGGCATGGTCGAGTTGGTAAAGCTCATGGTTGCTAATCCGAAAAGTCTTGAGTTCGAATCCCCGGGCAGATGAGGCTCGTTATCTAGGGACAGTTACTCTTCTAGGAGAGACAACTTCAAAATCAAACATCTGCTTCCTTGTAGTTTGTTCTTGGTTGGACAAAGGCTATGGAAGCAAATCCAAAAAGGAAAGCAGGCTGAAATAGGAGTCAATGGCCTCAATGGCGCATAACCAGTTGACACATGTACTTAATTGTGTTGGAGGGGGATCCCTTCCAACACTAAAATTAAGAACGAAGAGGAAGAAAGATAACAAAAGGGGAGGGTGTGGCCTAGTGGTCAAGAGCTAGACTGCCAACTCGAGAGTCTCGAGTTCGAATCTGGGTTCAAATCAGTGGAGCATCCCTCAGCACCCAGGTCTGATGGGTACCTAACTCACATTAGGGAAACAAAGGCAGCTGGGCATAGTGCTGACTATGTTATCCCTTCATATGCTGAGGTTTCTGAAGCAGATGAACTCTATTTCATCTGCCCCATGTGTCTTGGGCATGAACGGGAAATGATGATCAGAACAAAAGATGCTGTTTTTATATGATGTTCTGAAGTAAGCATCAAAGCAACATGATTGCTATTAATAATAATTAAAACTTAGATGGAATAACCATACACAGCTAATATTTATAGAAGCTACTGTAAAGATGTTTACCTTTTTCACAGTTTTGTCCATAAAATCCAGGTGGGCAGATGCACATGTAAGACTGCAGTCCTTCAACACAGTCTCCATTATTTTGGCATGGATTCCTTGAACATGCATCAGGATCTAGAAAAATAAACAAATGTTTCTGCTATGTTTAATAAACTGATTTATCAAGGTAGTTTCCTGTCATACAAACTTTAAATTAAAAAAAAAATATTGTAGTTTTTTTTACTTGAAGTTTGACAATAAAGCTGATTATTCTGGAATTTCAGACAATCTAAAAATAACTATCTTGAAAATGTAATCTTGAATATTGATGTTTTAACAATATAAAATGAATAAATGTTGCATGTTTAATACCTACCAAGTCTTTAAAAAATTCTTAACTGCTATACTATTTACCTGAGCATAATGGTGACACAATAACATGTGATAATTTGTACAAAGCTTCGTAGTCCATGACTTCAATCAAATTTTGAGCCAATGGAGGGGAGGTAATTTCTCTTAATTCATAGTTGCTTGTTACACCAATAGCTACTGTTATAATTGTGGTGCCTGAAGCTCTGATCCTTTTGGCCTCTGGGATTGTTTCCAAATGGTTAACATTGGAGTGTCCGTCAGTGATAACAACCAGCAGATTGGGATACCCTGGAAGAGAAATTAAATAGGTTTAAATTAGGGACAGCATAGTCATTAGGTCTGAAAGGGGAACTTTATTTTTTTTCTTATTAAATGAATGAAACATATATTTTGGTTTCATCATCATCATCATTCCTTTGTGGCCCATGGGGAGCAAAGGGCTGCAACCACATATTTTGGTTTGCACATGCTAAAATGTTTTGCTCATTCAAATATACTGAAATGAAACTTGAGCATATATTTTGTACTGCTACAGTAGTTGGCACTTTGGCCTTTTATTTTCTAAGTTCTACTGACTGTGATGTTTTGGAAAGATTTAAAATACTAGGTACCAGGTCTGTCTCCACCAGCTGCAGTAAACATCTCAGTCCTGACCCTCCTCAGAGCTTCAGCAGTATGGGTGTATCCATACACATAGGACATTTTTTGAATGGCTTCATATATGTCCTGCTTTTTATCATACTCCTTCAAATGGAACTCCAGACGTGAAGAGTCACTGAAAACGTAATTTATTTTTAAATATGAAGTTAAGAAAGTACCTAAGCACAAATCAAGGTGCGGTTGTGGTATATAAAACATATCATGCCAGATTTTTTATTTGCCCAAGAAGTTAAAGAAAACTGAACAGGCCATTCAAACCCATTGAATGTTTTAGTTGAAAAAAAGAGAAATGTTACAGCTATTTTGATCATATTGTACCATATGTTTGCATCATATTATATTAAAATGTAGGGGAACAGAACTAGGTAATTCAGTAGGTATCATACTTGTTTTATCGTTATATTTAAGTTGTTATCTGCTACTAATTACTACATTTGCTAAAATATTCTTCAATAGTTAATTTTTGTTTCACTTTTTAATCTAACAATCATGTCTTTGCTAAAGTAAACTAAGTAGTGTCACTTGACAAACAGATTTTTTTTTTTCATTTAACTTTTCTAAGAATAATAAGTGTCTTATGGTAATAAGCATCTTGTACAGCAAAAATATAATTAATGTAGTTTATTTTTTCTACAGTCAAACTATTATAGGGCTTGCTTTGTTTAAAAAAATCTTAATGAATTCAAGTATTACTTAAAAGAAATATCAGATAAAGCAATGCAAGTGATATATAAAATAATACTCTTGTAAGCCTACTTGTATTATCTTCTACCTTCTAAAATTCATTGTATAATTCTGTATAAAACAAAGTATTTTATAAAAGATGAATAGGGTCTAATGCTAAATCATTATCTTTATATTAATAATAAAAAAAATTAAAACCCAAGCTAAGAAGTAATCAAAGCAACTAACCTAAAGGTCATCATGCCAATCCTGAAAAATCCATTATCAATGGGCAGATCACTTATGGTGGCGTAGGTAAAGTTTTTCATTCTGTAGAAGTTATCTTCTCCCACACTGCCAGAGGTGTCAAGCAGGAATATCACATCTCCTTTAGAATTGCAGGTGCCTAGAATGATATTTATAAATGTTGATATACATAGGTAAACTACCTCACGGTATGCTATAGAGGAGTTAATTTTTAAATATCTTTCTTGCAAACCTTATAAACTTTACAAGTATTTAAATTCCTTATTTAAAAAAAAAATTCTTTTTTTTTAAAAAAGAAATATGGCTATGTTAAAAAGATTTTACATACCGGTATATGGTACGTGAACATATGGTGCTTGTGTGGTGGTTGTTGCCAAAACAGGTGGTGGGGCTAAATTATAAATTGTAATTAATAATACATAATAATTATTATTATTAAACTATAGCATAATTAAAGGATGAAGGATAAGACAAGAAACCAGAAAGAAACCAGTATAGGCACAATATAAATTAGGGTGTCGCAGAAGATTGTAGGTTTTAACATCATTCGATCAGACAGATGATGCTATACAGCTGGTAACAAAAACCCATTTAGAACAGTTGATTCCAAAATTAAACAACTGCTTCCTTATAGTTTGAGAGCTGGTTGAAATTAGAGTCAGTATGGCACAAAGTAAGTTGACACATAAATATGTTGGAGGGAATCCACATCCAATATTACAATTAAGAATAGAGGGAAAAAAGCTTAGCCATAGTCTAGTTCAAGTTATTATTCTCTGAAATTTTACTTCAAGCTCTGTTATTCATTTATAAGAAAACTATTTTAACACCAGGGGGCATTTAATTTTCTATTACCTTAACACTCTTGAGGTAGAACATAAAACAATTTTTTTCATATCATTTAACATGTGTTACTTATCATCTGCTCTAATTTATCCAATGTATTGGACAAAAAAAATTGCAGCAAACACTAAGCACCCACTGTCATCATTACAGACTCATAATCATAAAACATTGTACAATAAATTCAAATATTTGGTCTTTTTTCAACAGACTATAACTAAGGTAAAAAATGTTGCTCAAGCAACTACCTAACATAAAATCATCTCAGAAAAAAAGAGGTGAACTAGGAAAGTAGGAAGTAGTAGACAAAATACAATAGCGAATCTTGCCACCTTATATTGCAATAGGTGGCGTACAGAGTGATTACATACAAAATATCGTTAATGTAATAATAGAAAAAATCACTTAAATGTCAGAAATGATTATAGTTTTTATGCTTAGTATGAGAAGCAGGGCCTACTAATGCTAATACATAACTGTATTCTTCTGTAAGGTTATACATACCATTTTCCATCCTATATTTGTAAAGACCAGGTAGCTCCAGCATTGAATCCTCATTAAATATCAATGTTCTGAAATCTTCAAGAGGCTTTGAGCTAATCTCATCAATCTCTTCACTGTTTCTGAAGTTAAGACCAACTGTAAAAATATCTGTTCCTATTCCCCTCAGCCGATATGCTGCAGCATAGCTATCTTCTGTTTTCAAACTCTTTTCTTTACCTACACAAGGAAATTATAATTTAAGCAAAAATTCTTTACCTAAATAAAAAAGTTCTTGGAAAAGTAATAATTTATATTTTTAGCAACTTTTTCCAACAAAAAAATGCTAAGCACATGTAATAAAATTAAATTAAACAAGAATGTAACAGGATTTTTTTTAAATTATAAACTTTTAACAGTCTAGTTTTTTTCTATATTAACTCATTAATCTAAGACTTGATTGTAAATTCTAATAGTGAAATTAACAATACTACAACAGGATTAGAGTAATGTAAAACCAAAACTGAATATTGTCAGTCATAAAAAATGTCAAATATAAAGGTGTATAATAAGTAGAATAAGTTACCTGTAAGTAAAATCACAAAGTTTCTGGCCCTAGGCCTGTCTCCATTAGGTACTGTGAACATTGACCTTCTAGCATAGTCAAAGGCACCACCAACATCTGGGTCACGGTTACTTGGGGAGTTTGAAATACCATCTAACCCAGCAAAGACTTCATCATTGAATCCATATCTGATTTATTAAAATTAAAAGTTTTATTTTGGTCAACAAGAATGTTACATATTTTTAGATAGTACAAAGATACTCACATGATTGAGAATGATGGGTTATAAATATCAGCCCAAAAATGTCATTACCTGTTTAGGTTGAATTCAGTCTTTGTTCTCTGGCCAAATGTCATACCACCAACTCTCCATTCTCCTGATTCAACATCAGCTTCTCTAATAAAATCACGGACAAATTTCTTCATCCAACCAAATATTTGGTTATTAACTGTAGCATCCATCATAAACACAACATCTATGCCAGTATCTTTGGTCTCTGTAAATTTTAATTTAATCATTATTATTCTTTAATAAACAAGAAAGAAATATTACAGATATCTCAATTAAAATAAAGCATGTTATTTATGGACATAAATATTAGTACAAAGCTATATTAGGTATGCTTTTTATACTTTAGGCTAAAAGAATACTTTTTTCTATTATTTACTGTTAAAATTTTACTTTTCAGTCAAATTAAAGTATTCTTTCAAAACCTGATCATCAATAGATGAGATTTTTATAGTTTCATTAAGGCCATGTCAATAAAGTGTGTCAACACTAATTTGCTATTAGTACAAGAACCCCTATAGCTGATACTGACATAACTTCTGTTACTGTTTCTTTCATTGCATTTACATAACAAAACAAAAAAAGATACTTGATTAAAAAAAACGACTAACTTCTTATCCTTGGTGGTTTAGTTGTCGTAGTTGTTGTTGTAGTTGTTGTCCTGGGTGTGGTTGTCCTTCTAGTGGTTGTGGTTGTTGTTCTGGGTGTGGTTGTCCTTCTGGTGGTTGTAGTGGTTGTCCTAGTTGTGGTGGTTGGTCGTGTAGTGGTAGTTGTTCTCCTTGTAGTTGTAGTCGTTGGCCTTGTGGTTGTTGTTGCTAAAACAAAATTTCAAGTTTTATATTACAATTCAAATTTAATAAATTTAAACAAAGTAAGATTTACATTGCAAAAGTTTTTCACAACTAATTTATGTATATTATTTCTTTTAAAAAAAAAAGATAAAATAGTCAAATCTGGTTAATTAGAGAACATTTGATTGGACAGGCTGATTATTCTGGTAGAATAGACCAACAAATTAATCTAAAGATATATGGTTACATAAATATGTAACTATTCATGTATTTGAACCTAAATCGTGTTTAATCAAACCAGTCCGGTTCATTCACAAAGTTGGGCTTGTTGTCTAAATCCTCCACCATATTCTCACTTAAGAACAAAGAAGAAGAAGAAGAAGAAACCAATGAATGTGAGAGAAAATAGGAAGAGCAGAAAGCAATATGAGTGATGTAAAACCTTTAAAATAATCTTTTATTTCTCAAGTGTAATTATATGAATCACAAAAAACAGAGAAATTGTGTTATTTTAATGGTCACTACTGTAATATTAACAAGCTTATTGCTTCCACAGTTATCAAATTATAAAACATATCACCACTGTTATGCTTCAAAGAAAGTCAACTGAATATTTTTTAGATGCTTTAAGTGGCAAAGTTTTGCATCACAGAGCACTGTGTCTCTCTTTCTGTCTCCTCATGATGAAAGCCAAACAACAGTTTCAGCTAATAATTTAATAAATAAACTTTGATGTTATTTCCAGTTTACAAAGTTAAGATGCAATATTAGTTTATGTATAAAATGACAATTATGTCAGCCTATTGCTTGTAACATCTTTAACATAGTGTATGTTCATGAAATCAAGTATTAAGATCAAAATGATCATGCCCATATGTAATCTAATTAACCAGAATTGACTATATAAATATTAAATACATTTTTTTAAAAATCTGAAAACATATTAATTTGAAATGAAATAAGTTTAACAATAACGTAAGCCTTTTATACATACAATTAAAAGAGAAAAAAAAAAAAAAATTTAATGAGACATTCAATTACATGCAGATGTGGCAAGTGGAGCAGTTAGTATAATTATTTTAACCAACACATCATGCATTTACGATAAAAAATTTTATTTATATATTCAGAAACTATGTAAAAAAAAAAAAAGAATATACAGTATTTTTAAAAATTAAAAGTGAGTGCCAGGCATGCATAAAAGTGAAATAAAAAAAATTGCAAAAACATTTATACTTTTAAATTATAGTTTAGTGAAATAGGACAAAGATTGATAACTTGATAGTCTCAAGTTTTGATCCTGGACTTAAGTCTAAGAGATGTCCCAGACTTCGCCCAGCTTTGATGGGTATATGACTCACATGAGGGAAACTAAGGCAGTTGGGCAAAGTGCTAACCAAACTATCCCACTGTATTTTCCTATTCATTGAAACAGATTAACTCTACTATATCTGCCCCACGTTTCTTGAGCAAGAACAGAAAAAATGAGGGTGATGGTTTACAGATATCACAGCAAAATAAATTTATTAAAATTGCTGAATCAGCTCTTTCAAATAAAATATTAAAACCATGTTTACTGAAATATCATTTAAATCACTAAACTAAAGTAAGCCTAACGTTTCGAATGTAGAACTCAACTTCTGTAGGAACTACGAATTATTTTAAAAAGATTTATACAGCTTCCATTTTTCATACTTAAAATTCTATGATAAATTCTTCAACACAGACCACTAAAACAAATGCAACTAAAAATTAGTAGGCAGTGAAGCCACAAAACTTTGCTCAAGTTTATTTGGCTTAAAAAAATATGTTTTAGATGTGATTATATTAGTGAACCAATATAATAATTAATTTATGGCAGGTTAAAAAATAATTTAAAAAAATTAAAATCAACAAAGCTCTAAAAACATTCACAAGATAATTCAAACCAAATAAATGTGAATTCATAAATTTAGATCTAACTTTACTAAGCCCAAGCAAACTAATTGTAATAAAAAAAACAATGTGTTTATTTTGTAATGCAACAGGAGGTGAGTTAATGTGCCCTTCAGTTCAGTGCTCTCTAGGTAACCAAATTAAGCCTTGCAAGTGACTAAAAATAAAATTTCTATAAAACAGTGCATGTGGTATGTTAATAAGTTAACTAAATGTGATTGATATTTTTTGTCTTTCATACTTGTGGTGGTGGTAGTTCTCGTAGTAGTTGTAGGACGAGTAGTCGTTGTAGTTGTTGCTACAATTTCATCAAATTAGTATCATTATGTTTAATTACAAACGTAACGAATTACTAAGAAAATAATTTAATTACATCTTAAAAATCATACAAACGAACAAACATAAACATCCTTGGTATAATGAACTAACACTTTAAAAAGACAGATAACATAATTAACTGATTCACTTTTTAGTAGTTATATAGAGACAGACAATACCTACATGCTATATTATAATAGCAAAATTTAATAATATTACACACTTACTACAGTAGTATTTTTATAAATTTGAAAAGTTACTTTAATTTATCAAGCTACACTCAATAAAAATTTAAAAAATGGAAGTGAATGAACAAAAATAAACACTCATGACTTTAAAATTATGAACTGTTTGAGATGCTTTTGAAACGATAAAAACTGGTGTTGTAAAGAGACAAGGGAAAATAACCTTAACCTCACATTATGATAAAAGGTACATTAAATTTACAAAAAATTCTATTTCTACTTGAAAATTTAAAATCTTTAGAACACTATACATTCACGCAACCAAGTAAGGATTATAAAAATATTTCTGCTTTTCAAATAAATTCAAAAACTGAAAAGTAAAAAAAGTGCACTATCGCAAGGTTAAATATCTAAATTTTAAAAAATTTAAACTGAACTTCTAACCTATAGGTATCCTGTCTAGCTCAGTGGTTAAAGGTATTCCTGAGAACATGAATTAATTTTCACATCTAAGTCTAATTGAATTTATAGGTGCTAAAATTACTGATATCAAGGATAAAATCTCAAGCAAGCCTAATAGTTGATTAACTATCATTTTGCAAAAATCAATCACTTGGCAATGTTACCATGGTGATTTGTTTGTTATCTTCCTGCCTACTTATTATTATTCAGAATTAAATAGTAAAATTCAACATTTTTAAAATAAATCCATTAAAGAAAAACCGTTAAGAACAGTAAAACGGCCTGCATGTGGTGAGAAAGGTAAAATTAGCCTTTTTATCCTAAATGCAACTGACATGCATAACACTTAAATTTCTTACGTGGTTTTGTGAAGGTAAACTCCTCTGTAAGCAAAAAAAATTAAAGTTCAATTAATTATGTAAGCTTGCTTACATTGTGATGCATACATTGTAAAAAGCTATTTTAGGAAATTTCATACTAAAATATTTCATAGCCAGAATGAATTTCCTATTGTTAGGTCAGCTGTGTATTAAGTACTGAACATTATATAAATAATTGTATTTTAAGAAGGTTGGTATAACCCAGGGGTCGGCAACCTGCGGCTCGCGAGCCGCATGCGGCTCTTTTGATATCAAGATGCGGCTCTCTAGCTCCTTGAACAAATACTAATAATCTTAATAAAAAAATAAAATATTTGAAATAAAACAAATGTTAGTGGTTCTTTAAAAACAGGGAAATTTTGAAAATTGTAACTTTTGGCTCTTCTGCTTCAAAAGGTTGCCGACCCCTGGTATAATCTAATGTATAAATTTCTTACTTGGACATGCAGCAGCAAAAATCATGTCATCAACATGCACAAGATCATCAAAGGAAGCAACTCTGAAACTGTTGTCTTTTGCAGGAGGGCTTGCAATGCCTTCTAATTCACGATAGTCAGAAAGGCCAATACCAACAGTGTAGATGTGAATTCCATCATTGTGAGCTAGTCTAGCATTGGGTACAGTTTGCTCTGGATTTACTGTAGATACACCATCTGCAAAAATAATAAAAAGTATTACAAGCTTTTAAATGCATTAAAAATGCATGTAGCAATGCGTTCGTGGGGATAGGATGTGATGGTCACCCACTGAGGTTTAGTGCTTTAAGGCTGACCCTGAGAGACAAAACACATACACTTGTAGTGTAACAGGGCCAAACTTTATTTGTCTCAGCCAAGCATATCCACTTGTTAGCGTTGCAATTACTATAATGTAGAGGACACAATAGGGGACGGAGTGGTAGAGAGCTGGACTGCTAACCCGTAAGGTTTGTGTTCAAATCCGGGTTCAAGTCAGTAGACCGTCCCTGAGTCCACCCAACTCTGATGGGTACCTAACTCACCTTAGGGAAAGTAAAGGCGGCTGGGCATAGTGCTGACCACACTATCCCTTCATATGCCGAGGTCACAGAAACAAGTGAACTCTACTTCACTTGCCCTATAGACCGTCAGGTTTGAAAAGGGAACTTTTTACTATTTAGAGGACACAATGGCCTAGAAGCAACATTAGCTCTATACTATTTCACAGACAACAACTATGTCAGCACAATGTCACATGATCACTCAAAGCCTGGTTTTACTGTCATCATGGAAGTCAAAACTACACAACCCAACTCTTCCAGAGGCCACATGACTTGGAAAAAACTTGTAAAAATCACTCACAAAAGATAAAAAATGTACCCAGAGGCCCAGCAATCAAATCAGGTTCTGATTATTGCCACTAGGCACTATGATTTGTGTAACATACAAAAATAGATTTAGATATAACAGGAAAAGAGTAGGCCATTGCAATAATTGATACATTGAAAATATAATATTTTGTTCATGTATTTAGACCAACTCATCTAAAAGATTTGTGAATAAAAATATTGAAACCTAACTCCCTTTAGAAATTTTAAAATATTCTGTATACAGTAAACTTTAAATTAACTTTTAATTGCAAATAATTCTCAATTAAGTGTAATTCAGTATTTCCAAGCATAAGACTATTGGTCGTTTTTTTATTAATTTCTAGTAGGGCCCTCTTAATTCCCAATAAAACATGAAAAAAAAAGATACAAAAGTAGCTAAAACTTTTAAATTTATGGTACTTATAGAGGAAACAGCTAGATAATTTTGGGTTTGGAAAGGCAGCCTGGAAGTATTTTTTTAAGAATCCATATATTAGATCTAGTAGCAATGTGAGACCAGGACCCTTGTAAAGACCTACCAGTGAGAACTAGAGCAAGGTTGGGGATATCAGCCCTGTCTCCTTTGTCTGGAGTAAACAACTCTGTCCTCATCACTTCCAGTGCCTCTGCTGTATTTGTTGATCCAAAGTTATAGTCAACTGTATCCAATTTTTTAATAATATCTGCTACTCTGGTGTAGGTATTCAGGTCAAATATTGGATAGACTTCAGTGCTGTACATTATCAGACCCACACGAACATTTCCAGAATCAATATCAGCCTTGGAAACAAAGTCTTTGAGAAAACTTATAATCTGGAAATTAAATAAACACAAAATAATATAATAAGAGGTAGAATCTATGTAACAATATGTACAAAGGAACATGCACATTGTTTTGACTAGTACTAACAGCAAAACTATGGAAAGAGAGATACAAACCTTCTTAAAGTTATTTTCAGAAACACTTGTGGATGAATCAACAACAATAACAAGATCAGCCCTGCCCAGTGCACAATCTTGATAATCAGAAATACATTTTACATTAGACAAACTGCTATACAAGAAAAAAAAAAAAACCATATAAAAAATGTCTTTCCTTTTACATGTTATTGCAGGGAAAGGTTATTTATAAATTTCAGAAGCTATGTACCCCTGTGTACAATTAATTGCATTATGCACAAATGTGTACTGATGTTAACATCCTAAAATCTTTAGTGCATTATATTTATCTTTTTATTACACAAATATAAAATCATTTTTCTTTACAGTTTACGGTCCTATTTTAAATTATTCATACATATCCAAAAGCGTTTATCATTTTCACATTGCTCATGAGGAACCAAAATAAAATGATTACCTGATTTAGGTGGTGGCAGAGTGATTGGTTCTGTGACAAAAAAAAACATACATTTTAGGTTTTTATTAAAAGTAAAAACCAATAAAAGAATATATATATCTGTTATATTTTCCACCTTGATGTGGGGTTTTACACTAGCTGTGTATGCCATTGTCTAAATTTTGCATAATATGATCTACACAATCTACCATACATTTATTAAAGAATCTCAATGATAACAGCTTCAGTAATTTTTCAACTGATTATTTACACATTTAATCCTAAAAAAATTAATAATTTACCTGCTCTGGAAGTTACTGGCTCTGGTTCTGTTAGGGAAATTAAGAATAAAAAAGAACGAGTTAATAAGTGTCAAAAACAGACAGAACAATCTTTAAAATGTCGGTGCATCTATGACTACACTAGAAGGCCTATACATTAAGCTAAATATAATAAGTGTCAGCTCTAGCAATCACAAAACATTAATCAAGTCAAACCAATTAGACCTTCATGGTCCAACTGCAATGATCATGTAAACAAAGAACTAATAAAATCACAGATACACTTACAAGCTCCCAACGATTTAAATTCCTAATGCTAGAATTAAAAAGATAAATGGATTAGAAGTTAATATGACATTGATTACTGAAAATATAAAAACACTTGTCTACTATTATTACCTGGGGATGAAACATTAAAACAAGCATGCTGGAAAATTTTATTACTGTAAAAGATGAAATATTAGGGTTTTAAACAAAAATCAAAACAAAGAATAATTTAAAATGCAAGGTAAAAATGAGGTTAAAAAATAAATGAGGTATGGTTTATTTACATGTAAAATAAAGGCAATTTCTGCAAGGCAAGCAAAGCTGGTTACAGATGGTGTATCTACAATAAAGTTAAAGCCTCTTTTATTTAGACATAGTTCATAAATAAAATAAACAAACGTCAATTCTCAATAACATTCCTTATTTGTTAAAAGGAAAAATAATCTAAAGACTGAGCCTCCTAACTAAAAGGTTAAGCTGTAGCCTGTAGTAAATATAGCACTTTAGAGTTAGTTTATGGTGAATAGTGGGATTTTTTTAAAAATTGTCCTTTAGTATTACTGGGCCAAAATTTTCAGTAGTTCAAAATAAGGTAATGTTTTATGCATGTTTTTTTTTACTATTACAAATATTAAGGTAATTTCTTTTAACATTTTTTGGTCTGTAGTGTATTTGGGTGTAGTGTGAAATGAAGGGTATACTTAGGTTGTAAAAGTGGTAGGATTATTTATTTTTTTTAAATGTGGGTGACTAGGAGAGGATTTTTATGAGGAGACACTTGATGCTGTGAAGTTTACTTGTAGTACTTGACTGGGTGTTATAATTTGCTTTTTTAGTAATTTTGTGTTTTAAGTTTAGTAAGAATAGTGTTGTTTAGTTAAAGTAGTGTTGTTTAGTTTAGAGTTGTGTTAGTTTAGAGTATTGTTGTTTAGTTTAGAGTAGTGTTAGTTTAAAGTAGTGTTGTTTAGTTCAGAGTAGAGTAGTGTTGTTTAGTTTAGAGTAGTGATTAGGCTGTTTTATTTAGTTAAAGATTCTGTTCCATTTTTTTTGTTTTACATTTAATAAAGTTATGATTATTTTGATTGTCTTATGCTTTTATTAAAAATTTAGTTTAAGGTTAGAATTTAACCACTCTGGGTTTAAACATAGTTGCACTGGCATCTGGTAGATTAAAGACCTTGCAGGTAGATCCACCCCCCCCCCCCCAGACACACCCACCTTGTTTGGGCTTACATTAGTTAGATACTGGCACCACAACACAATAATGTTAGCTTTTTAGAACTATACTTAATACTTTGTTTTATTTACATTGTTTAAAAAAGAGTAGGCTGACACAATATAAGTAAAAAATAAATTAAACCCTATTGTTTGAATTTTAGTAGGTCAATACATTTTTTAAATAACCCATGCTGCAGTTCAATTTTTAAAAGTTTATGCATAATCATGTTCCCAATAAATGAAAAAAACAACAACAATGTAACATAGGATGATACCTTGTGAACCTCATGTACCTTTTTGACTACATTAAATGTAGTTTTTGTGGCACAGAGATTCAGACACTATACAACAAATGTCGGAGCAAGGACAGCTAACTAAACTAAACATAAAGAAGTTTTGTTTATTATCTTACACATGTATACTTACCCCCACAAAGCGCAGAAAATACCCGGTATCTTAGGGGAGACAATTCTGTGAAGTTCTGCACAGAAAACCTGTTCTGACTTAATGGTTTATTGGCAATGCCATCCAACTCTTTAGTGTCTGTCAGACTAATACCAATAGCATAGATATGGATCCCTTGTGCACGTGCTTCATCAGCCTCTGGAATGGTTCTCAGGTTGTTTATGTTTGATATACCATCAGTAATTACAACTGCAATGTTGTCAACACCTGGACGATCTCCATTCTCTGAAGTAAACATTACTGTCCTCATTGTTTTCAAACCATCTGCAGTGTTTGTACTTCCAAATCGATAAGGGATATTATCAATAGCATTGTATACAGCTGCTTTAGTTTTGTGTGTGTTAAGCTGGAACTGGACATAGTCTTCTGTACTGTATATGATAACACCCACTCTAACACTGCCTTTATCAATGTCTGCATCCACAAGGAAGTCTTTCATGAATTGTTTGATAAGAACAAAGTTGGGCTCTGTGACACTGGTTGAAGCATCAACAACAAAAATAAGATCCAGTCTAGCTCCAGCACAGCCTATAATAAACATCAAAATATTTCACAGCATTTTACATTTGTCTAAGTTTTCTGGTTTTAAGCACAAAATAAATAGGTGTTTTCATATTTTCATAAAACTAAACAAAAGAACTGTTAGTGCTCCTACTAAATAGTCTAATTTAAATTCTTCTAAACTACAACAAAACAAATATTGTCTCCATGCATTTTCTAGACCAGAGAAGTTAGAAATAGTGTGGTAACTCTAAAAAGTAAACAAAATAACTTACTTGGACCTGCAGGTATAGGGGCTGCACCTTAAATATGAAAAATAAAATTATTACAAGTTGACAAAGAAAATATAAAATATAGCTCATCAATAGTTAGTTATACTGCTGTATTTTTTTTACCCAGTTTTTAATCATCTGATGTTAAATTCCATTTAAGATGAAAACTTTTCACATTAACACAAACACAAATCTTTAAAGCATGGATTAAATAACTAGAAATAAAACAATTTTAAAAAATTAAATAGAAATATATTTTTATTTATTCTTTTTTAATATTTTTATTAATTTTTTTTTAAAATATATTGTTTTTAACATTAAAAAATCATAATGCTTAATTAACATTATAACATTTCTTTGTAATAGAACCAATAGACATGTTATGGGATGTTGTGATCAGTTGCTTACAACTGCTAACCCAAAAGTATTGACTTGGATCTAAGACCACAATGTTTCCTGTGTTTTAGCATGTCTAACAAACAGTAGTTGTTTATTAATTAAGTACAAAATCTCTAGATTCAATATTACGTATCAGTAAGGTTTCATTAATCTAACAAAAAAAAAACTTTATTTGATCCATGTTATTGTAAAAGAATATTGTTGAAAGAATAGAATAACACAGAATATTTGAGATAAATTGAGTTCAGTAATTTAACGACGCTGAAATAAACACATTTATAAACTATTTAAGTCTATTTTTTAAATTTACAAATGGCACCAGTAATATTGCTTTAAATTAACCCCTTATTTATTTCTTTAAGACTGAACATTGTATCTAACATGTTCTAATTGCTTTCAACCAAAACACTTCTCATTTTAAAATATATTTTCTTGTGACTCATTGTCTTTATAATGCCACATTTTTCAATATTTACAGATGAAGAAAGCATGAGTTTCTGAGTAACAATAAAACCAGAAATGTTGAGTGGGAGGTTGTGGTAGTATCAGTTCACTAAAGCAGTGTGACGTTTTAAACTTGAGTGTTGTCAATCCTGAGAGCTATAAAACAAAACCTTCAAGAGTCCGGAATATTAATCCCAAGCTAGAGAAGCTAGAGACTCCTGCGATGGTACTTAGTTAGCTAGGAAAGGATTTTATCGTGGGGAACATTGATCACTAGGTGGAGCAGTCATAGACTCCTACTCTGAGATAGCTGAGGATTTTATAGTAGGGAGTATTGATCCCAAGTTAGAGCCGCTACAGACTCCTATGATGGTACTTACATAGCTGAGTAAAGATTTTATGGTGGAGAGATTTCAGCTCAGTAAAATCTTGAATGAGAAATCTGTTTTCTCCCACAGGTTTGTTTGCAATACCATCCAATTCTTCAATCTCTGTCAGACCAATACCAATAGCATAGATGTGAATACCCTGTGCTCTGGCTTCTTCAGCTTCTGGTATGGTTCTTTTGTTGTTGATGTTGGAGACACCATCAGTCACCACAATAGCAATGTTGTCAACACCTGGACGATCTCCATTCTCTGCAGTAAACATTACTGCCCTCATTGTTTTCAAACCATCTGCAGTGTTGGTGCTTCCAAATCTATATGGAATAGCTTCAATGGCACTAAACACAGCTGCTTTAGATTTGTGTGTGTTAAGCTGGAATTGAACATAATCCTCTGTGCTGTAGATGATAACACCTACCCTAACATTGCCATTGTCAATATCAGATTGAAAAAGGAAATCTTTCATAAAGTCTTTCATCAACTCAAAGTTTGGTGCTGTTACACTGGTTGAGGCATCAAGAACAAACACAAGATCTAATCTAGCATCAGCACAGCCTAGAAATGTTTAATTAAATTAACTTAGATTTCTTAACATCTATTTCAGCTAATACATTTTTATAACTTTCCCTTCTCAATATGATAAATCACACTATACAGCCTACAATATGTTAAAAACTAAAGCAAAGAAAATTTGATCTTTCATTTTTTTTAAAACCACATTTCAATTTTCTTTTTTCATTGGATCAATTAAAATGTAGCTACTTGGAAATGGAAAACCCTTTCTATTTGAAAAAAAATAAAACTAACATTATGACATTTTTGAAGAAGTATGTTTGTTATAATGCCATAATTATAAACTTTTTGCTTTGTTATTATTTTTAAGTTTAAAGTGTCATTACTTTTCAGAGGACAATTTATAGTCAAAACAACATTTTTTTGAATGAGGTTTATTATACTTCTTTTTATTTTATCTTTCTTAATTTTTTTATTTTGAAATCTAGTTGGATTGTATTCTAAAAATCCTAAAGATTAATCTATGATTTTCTCTTGTAGAAATTCTTGTTGCACTGATGTTCTTAACTTTTTAAATGCACATGATAGTCTAAATATGATACAACAAACTCAGGATTTGTGAAAGAAAACTGTTTTACATGAGAAGTCTGGGTCAAATGTTTACTGCGTGCAGGGACAAATCACATGTGATTCTTGCATAAAGAATAAAAAGGGCAGGAGTTAGGTCCTGACACATAAAAAAAAAATCTTACTCGTAACTGGTGCTCTTGAAGGTGCCTCAGTTCCACCTGTTTATTGATTTTTAAAAAGAAGATACAAATCAGAATTTTTTTTTATATTGTAACAATAAAGACATAAATAAGAGTTTATAAACATAGGCATACATATAACATTTAATATATTAACACAGTAATTGTAACCTTAGGTTAGTAAAATGAAATATTTTCCTTTTAACTGTAATTCATTAACCTTGTGGCACTTACGTTAAGTGATTCAAATAAATTAGTTAACTATCCTAAAGCTTGATGGCAAATAGCTGGTAAAGTCAAAGAGTAATTACATTTTTTATTTTGCGTGTCTCATGATATGGTTGGTACTCTTCAATATGACTAAAAAAAATTTAAACTTTTTTTTTCTTTTGATTGATATCTAGTTCAATTATCAACATATATAGGTAGCTTAGAAAATGTTTTTTTGTTTAAAAAACGTTTGTGTAACCACTTCTGAAAGGGTGTACATTTTCGTACACACATTTCACTGAATTATTTTCCAAAAAACAAATTCAATTACGAATACTGTTTTGCAATATTTTTTTATTCTGAAACCCCATTCCTACATAGCAAGAATGAAGTTTAGTATTTTTTATTACTTTACATTTTACTGCACACAATGGCGTTCAAGCTACTTAATGTTGTGCTAGCCTCTCTATCTCTCTCTCTCTCTCTCTCTGTTTGAAAATAGGCCTACATGAAACTATAGCTCAGACTTAATGTCTGCTACATTTCAAAGTGAAAGAGGGATGGCTAAATCAGCTACCATCATGTTCAAGTAACAATTTAACAATTTATTAGTTCTTTGCTACAGATTTGATAACATGATCTTAGTTTAACCTTCACAGAATGTGATTTACCAGCATGATATTACATGATTGTAATCCGGCTGTGTAGATTTTTATAGAGAAAAATATGGAGAAGGGCATAAACAAAACAAATAATATGTGTTTTGTAGTATTATTGGAAAACTACCATACATACATCATACTAGCATGTATAAGAGTTGTCCACAGTAGAAATGATAAAAAGCTGTAGTAAATAAACAAAGCCTGGCCCATTGTGTCAGACATTTTAACACAAGTGAACATTTAATGATCATCTATATATATAATTCAACACACAGCTTAGCCGTCCCTACCCCTGCTTTCTAGGGATATCACTACCACTGTCATGTGAGCTATGGTTCACCCAGAATGTTTACAATAGTAGAGCCGGTTCAAATAAGTGACGGCTATTAGGGGCAGATAATTTAGTTTTGAAACGATTTGAAACGGAGGGGAGATAATAAGTTCTGCTTTATATTTTCATTGTCGTCTGTAAACGGCTGCTATCACTGGGCGGGGTGGGGTGGGTGGTGGGAGGAGGCACGGGTGGGGGTGGAGTAGTGTTGAATTCACAAATTATGAATTGTTGATAAGTAGAAAATAAAACAACTAGATAGAGGCATATGTTATATCGCGGGTAAGCTCTTAAAAATAAAAAGTAGGTCCAGCAAAAAAAAGAATTTAAAATTAGAAAAAATTGTATATAAATATGTTTAAAAATTTGAAAACTTACACAAAGCAGAGAAAACTTTATGCCTGAGTTCTCTGAGTTCTGAAAAGTCTTGTACTGCAAATCTGTTTTCATCTACTGGCTTGCTGGCAATACCATCCAACTCTTTGGTCTCTGTCAGACCAATACCAATAGCATAGATGTGAATACCCTCTGCTCTAGCTTGTTCAGCTTCAGGAATGGTTCTGCGGTTGTTAATATTGGAGACACCATCAGTCACCACAATAGCAATGTTATCAACACCTGGACGATCTCCATTCTCTGCAGTAAACATTACTGTCCTCATTGTTTTCAAACCATCTGCTGTGTTGGTGTTGCCATAGCGATACGGAATAATATCAATAGCATTGTATACATCTTCTTTCTTTGAAAAATCTTTCAGCTGGAACTGGATATAATCCCCTGTGCTGTAGATGACAACACCTACCCTAACATTGCCATTGTCAATATCAGCCTCAAAAAGGAAATCTTTCATAAAGTCTTTCATCAACTCAAAGTTTGGTGCTGTTACACTGGTTGAAGCATCAAGAACAAACACAAGATCTATTTTAGCATCAGCGCAGCCTGAAAAATAAATATTTATTTTAAAGTAATTGTTAACTACACATAAAGTCTGATTAAGTAATCTTTTTTCTAAAAGCAGCAGCGAATTTCAAACAAACTGTGCACATATATTAAGTAAAATGTATTTCAGGTTAAAATATATGATACATAATTATTTTATCAACATTGTTGTCAAATTCAATGCTTAGACATCACACAATAAACAAGTTTCAATATTTTTTGTATTTTGGGAACCGAAATGAAGTAAAAGCTTGAGGGCTTATATTTTTATAGTATTAGTAAACACTGACATTGATTTTCTTGCATCATAAGCAACGATTGCTGATATTTAAATTCTTATGCATTTCTTTCCAATGATTTAAGTTTAAATTCATACTCATCAGTAGATTATTAGATTTAAAGATAACTATGTGCCTAATTGTGTATGGTGTGAGAGAGATGACACTCAAAGATACATAATATTATTATTAGAACAGACAAAAGATGATTATGAGAGTTTTATTTTTAAAATAAAGTAAGAGCAAATCTTAAGGAGAAAAAGTCATTGAAATCCAAGGGATGATGACTATAATTTCTAATCCAGACTCAAGATCATTTCCAGGACTCTGATCCCTAAGATTTCTCTGACTCCACCCATCTTTGATGGGTTCCAGGAGTCAAGAAGAGTAAAGGTGGGTGGGTATTGTGATGGCTACACAACGCTTAATGATGAGATAAAAAAAAAACAGGTTATATTAATCTCATACGCAATTTGATCCCAAGAAATCTGAAAGAATAATCAGTTCTGAAATATCTTTAAAGCATCTACTAGACTACCCGCTTGGATAACTGTGGGTTTCGGGGGTATCCATAAATGACATCATATTTGTTTGACAATTTTTATCTTTCTCCTCCCCCTCCCCACTGTCAAACATCATCACAAAAAGTCAGACCTGACATTCAAAAAGACTTCACACCTAAAGAATATGTTTTTGTCTTTTAAAAATACAGAATTTGGCTGAGTATGGGTCTGACCACACTATCCCTTCATATGCTGAGGTAACCGAAACAAGTGAACTCTCCTACACCTGCCACATGTACAGCCAATTCCCAAAAGGCAATTTTATTATTCACTTCTAAAAAGAAGTCACACCCCACCTGAAATATTTTTGTCTTTTAAAAGCATTGATTTCTTTCTATAATATTTTCTGAGCTCGAACTACAAATGAATAATAAATAAATAAAGTATTAAAGCTAACATCAAATTAATAATAATGAATTAGAACCAATTGCACGTATTGTGATTTCCCACTGTGCATTTTCTGTGAGGGAAAATTTTTAAAAAATTAAAAATTAACGTTGACATGATGTGTTTTGAGCCCATACCACCCATGTGGTAACTATTAAACTATCATCTAGGCCAGCTGGACACATACCATTGGGTGAAAATTATTGGGTTATATTTTACTTAGAGTTAACTTAGAGCCAGCGTAAAAAATTTAAGTTACAGGAATTTTTTTAAAATTAAAATTATATCCTAATTTAGCCAATTCCATTGCGAAACAAAGATTTTTATAAAATGATTAAGGCCTGAAATAGTTTAGTAAAGAAACTCATCATTCGCCAAGATTCTAGACAGACCTAGATCTAGGTAAATTCCTTGTTTTCTCAAATTAGATGAACTGAGAAGCTAAAAAGCAAAGACATATGAAATATTTAAGAATTAAAATAGTTTTAAAAAGAGAGTCAATTATTTATTTTGTATCACTTACTGTTTTTCTTATTAACTAATTATTTTTAGTTGGGCCTTAAAGTTTATTTTTTGGTATAAGTTGCCTTTTACTTGGATAAATTCCTATACATTTCAAGTGACATAACTATAAGTCCCAGTATTTTTTTCTGTAAAACTATTTTTGGTTTCGCATTAACATCAAGTGACATTACTAAGCCTGTGAAAGTTTCTAATTTTTTGTGAAAATAATGCATTGGTTCTGAACTTTAATAATTAACGGGGCGTTTTTACAAATGAATACATCAATTAATCAATTAACATCGTTACATAAGTTTGTGTATAACATTTTGGGGAAAATAGAACATTATTCTCTAAATACTTATTTTACAGTTTGACACATAGTGGAGATGCTCTCATAGAAACACACAAACACAAAAAAAAATATACAAACTTGTAAACAACTTGAATTTTAGTATAATATAGATCAAACAAACTCTTGAAATAATAATAAAAACATTGTTGAACACAATTTTCTTTCTAGTGACACATTGAAGAACATTAAAAAAATGGTTACATAAAATGTTTACCAAATACTTACTAACAACAGCTTTTACTGTAGATATTGGGGGTGGTGGTGGTGGTTCAGTTCGAATAGGTGCAGATGTTGAACCTGGAATTAATAAAGTAAATTATTAACAAAGAGAAAATTAATTAAAATAGTCTCTAGAATACACATTATTTTTATATTGCTGTTAACAATTAATTTTTTTTGTCCTAAAAATTATTATAATTTGAAAACTTACACAAAGCAGAGAATACTTTATGCCTGAGTTCTCTGAGTTCTGAAAAGTCTTGTACAGCAAATCTGTTTTCTTCCACTGGCTTGCTGGCAATACCATCCAACTCCTTGGTCTCTGTCAGACCAATACCAATAGCATAGATGTGAATACCCTGTGCTCTGGCTTCTTCAGCTTCTGGTATGGTTCTTTTGTTGTTGATGTTGGAGACACCATCAGTCACCACAATAGCAATGTTGTCAACACCTGGACGATCTCCATTCTCTGCAGTAAACATTACTGTCCTCATTGTTTTCAAACCATCTGCAGTGTTGGTGTTGCCATAGCGATACGGGATAATATCAATAGCATTGTATACATCTTCTTTCTTTGAAAAATCTTTCAGCTGGAACTGGACATAATCCCCTGTGCTGTAGATGATAACGCCTACCCTAACATTGCCATTGTCAATATCAGCTTCAAAGAGGAAATCTTTCATAAAGTCTTTCATCAACTCAAAGTTTGGTGCTGTTACACTGGTTGAGGCATCAAGAACAAACACAAGATCTAACCTAGCGTCAGCACAGCCTGAGGAAATATGCAAGCAAAACAATTTCAATTGGTCTCAATGGGAGAAAGATAAAATATGTATTTATTGGTACTAAAAAAATAGTATTTTCTATAAGAATATTCTTTTAAATAATTATCATTAAAAAAGTTTAAAAAAACCCACGTTTTCTGATTGAACTAAAAAGTAGAAAATAAAAGCGATCACTCTACTATAAGCGATGAAAAACATGGGGCGCCGAAGTAAAAGTTTTTTATCGGTCATTGTTAATATAAGATGTAAAAGTTATATTACTATTGATTAGATAATACTATTGACTTTTATTAGGGAGCTTGTCGAGAGTCAACAGTATTAGAAACTGTAAGAAAATCACGACACCCCAAGTTTTTCATCGCTTATAGTAGAGTGATCGCTTGCATTATTGTGATGTATAGCATTTATTTTCTACTTTTTAGTTCAATCAGAAAACGTGGGGTTTTTTTTTAACTTTTTAATGATAATTATTTTCTACTTTTTAGTCTTTGTCTGTTTGTTTGCATTAAAATCTTGCTATCGATTTTATCTTTTCGCATTCACTTTTTTTTAGCGCAATTTCCATTCTGGAGAATTGCGTTTATTAACCCGTCATTTCTGGATGTATGAATGTATGGATGTGTGTTCGCAGCTTTAAGTCGTATCTCCTCCTCAACGAAGCAATATTGAGGACTAGTTCCAAAAGCAAATTTGTTAAGCAAGTTACGAGGATGATAGTGGGCCAAAAAAATTCCGGAATTCCTTCCTGGATTTCACGGAAAAGCCAAAAAACCTTTAAAAAAATGCAGTTTTTGGCCCATATCTCAGCAACCAGACCACTTAGCGACTTGAAATATTTACCAATCGATTCCTGCCGTAATTTAGAACAATATTGCCGAAGAAAGTTTTCAAAAATATCCTTTTGTTCGGTCACAAATTTTAAAATTACATAAACACCTACAAACCAATCGCTCTCCTAGCTTGAACGCACCCCAGCATTATACGTCAGAGCTATTTTTAGATAACGTAAGGAAATTGCGCATAAATGTCATTAGACTTTTTAATTATCTTGTTTTGGGTAAACGAAGACAACTCGTAAAAAACATGTGCCTTGAACCCGTGACGAGTGGGTTAGCAATCGTGTGCCCAACCACTCGACCATATCATCTCCCCCATACTGCCCACCAGTTGTTACGTTCCGGTTGTTTGTACACAAACACCGCGTGACCACTACTCAGTAAGCCAAAAGAGGGAGAGTACCGAACCTTGTTTTCATCAAATTACAATTACTGGGTTATGTCCCTTTTTTCCACGTTTTTTGTACAAATACATAACGGTCTAAAATGATCAATAAAATGTTTCCATGGATCAATTTAGTAATAATAACAATTGAATATTCTATTGTCATTGGAAACAAAGCTTCCCTGAAAATTTCAGCGCGCTAGCTAACTGGGAAGTGACCGAAATTTCGATCGCAAGATTTGATTGGAGAACCAAACAAACAAACAAACAAACAAACAGACGCGAAAGCAAGTTAAAGAAAACGTGGGAAAATACAGACTATCTACTAAATTAAGCAATTCCAACTCATGGAGTTATAAAATGTCAAGATTTGTTAATTTCTTGATTTCAATTTTTTCCACAATTACAATACTTTCTAAACACTTTATATACAACAAAGTAAAAGCAGGCTCTTTGCAAGCTATAGAAGAGATTGCCTACTTTAACATTGTTTATAAAGAACTAGACTGAACAAGACATAATAGAAGCTTAAATAATAAACTTACTAGCCAAAGCTTTTACTGTTGTTGGCTTTGGAGTTGTTGTTGTTGGTGGAGGTGGTGGCGGCTGGGTAACAACTGGAGCAGATGTTGAGCCTGTAAAAACAAATGTATATAAAGGTTAATTTTCTTTTAAACGATATAGACCAACATAACAGAAGAAAACTTGCTCTAAAATATAAGTCATATGCAATGAATTTCAATGTTAATACCATTATTTTAAAGTATATTTCTGTTTTAGGCCTAAGGCTAAAATAGAAATTTTAAAAAGGACAAATATAAGCAATAATATGTATGGAATACAATGAAATCTTTTATAATTGCATCCTTTTATAAAAAAATTATTTTTCAATTCCAGATGTTTATATTATTGCATAGGTTATAAAATTTGAAAACTTACACAAAGCAGAGAAAACTTTATGCCTGAGTTCTCTGAGTTCTGAAAAGTCTTGTACTGCAAATCTGTTTTCTTCCACTGGCTTGCTGGCAATACCATCCAACTCCTTGGTCTCTGTCAGACCAATACCAATAGCATAGATGTGAATACCCTGTGCTCTGGCTTCTTCAGCTTCTGGTATGGTTCTTTTGTTGTTGATGTTGGAGACACCATCAGTCACCACAATAGCAATGTTGTCAACACCTGGACGATCTCCATTCTCTGCTGTAAACATTACTGTCCTCATTGTTTTCAAACCATCTGCAGTGTTGGTGTTGCCATAACGATACGGGATAATATCAATAGCATTGTATACATCTTCTTTCTTTGAAAAATCTTTCAGCTGGAACTGGACATAATCCCCTGTGCTGTAGATGATAACGCCTACCCTAACATTGCCATTGTCAATATCAGCTTCAAAGAGGAAATCTTTCATAAAGTCTTTCATCAACTCAAAGTTTGGTGCTGTTACACTGGTTGAGGCATCAAGAACAAACACAAGATCTAACCTAGCGTCAGCACAGCCTGAGGAAATATGCAAGCAAAACAATTTCAATTGGTCTCAATAGGAGAAAGATAAAATATTTATTTTTTGGTACTAGTATTTTCTATAAGAATATTCTTTTAAAAACACTACCTACTAAATTAAGTTTTTCCAACTCAGGCAGTTATAAAACGTTGAAATTTGTTAAATTCTCGATTTTAACTTTTTCCAGAACTACAATACTTTCTAAATACTTTGCATACTAGAAAGTAAAAACAGGCTTTTTGCAAGCTACAGTAGAGATGCCTACTTTTACACTGTTTATAAAGAAACTAGCCATCGGTACCTATTACACGTGAATTATAGGTCTATATATTTTTAATGTTTGAGAAAAATATTTTATAAAATAGTTATTGGTCAAAACTCAATGTTCTTTACTACACCTTGAAAGATATTACTGAAAAAGCAAAGAAATAACTAAATCACTAAAATTCCGGCACATTTAAATTAACATAGGCTACCAAGACCTATTAGAAAAACAAAATTATAAATATTATTAGTCAACACAATAAAATATTAAATAAACACACTGATTAAGAGAATTGATTGGTTCCTTTAAAAACCCAGCTGTTCAATGATATTTCTATTGTTTTTTACAGTAATTTGTATTACTTTTGGCCGAGAAAATTGTATACATTTCATAGTGCACGTCCCAATAAGTTGTTCTATAGATCTAAATCAAATTTGATTGAAATAGTGCATTTTTTTATATTCTAAAATTGGAAGGTGACGCCATAAGTTTTGTGTTCTTTCCTTAAACATGTAGCATGTGATGTCATTGTTTATTGCGTTCTTTAAACAAGAATAAATGCTTTTCCGGTTGCATAATTAAAGCTGTGTTTCGATATTTGAATATGCCTTTATTTTTCTTCTTTAAATAAAATTTAGTTTTTTACATTTATAACATCCACTATATTATTTTCAACAAAAGTCTGTATCTTTAAGTTCTCCATATATCACTGTACATACTGATCACAATAGCCTATAAAAAACTTGCAGAAAGAGAGAGAGAAGTACGTACATGGGCTTTTATATTTTAGGATAGACTGAACAAGACATAATAAAAGCTTAAATAATAAACTTACTAGCCAAAACTTTTACTGTTGTTGGTTTTGGAGTTGTTGTTGTTGGTGGGGGTGGCGGCGGCTGGGTAACAACTGGAGCAGATGTTGAGCCTGTAAAAACAAATGTATATAAAGGTTAATTTTCTTTTTAAAAAAATGTAGGCCAATTTTACAGAAGAAAACTAGCTCTACAATTTAAGTCATGTTCAAAGAATTTTAACGATTGACACTATTACTTTAAAGTATATTTCTTATTAAGGCCTACAGCTAAAATAGAAATTAAAAAGGATAAATATAAGCAATAATCCATAGGAGAAAATAAAATTACATATTTTATATTTGCATCTTTTTAAAAAAAATATTTTTAAAAAATTCAGATGTTTATATTCTTTACTAGGTATAAAATTTAAAAACTTACACAAAGCAGAGAAAACTTTATGCCTGAGTTCTCTGAGTTCTGAAAAGTCTTGTACTGCAAATCTGTTTTCTTCCACTGGTTTGCTGGCAATACCATCCAACTCCTTGGTCTCTGTCAGACCAATACCAATAGCATAGATGTGAATACCCTGTGCTCTGGCTTCTTCAGCTTCTGGTATGGTTCTTTTGTTGTTGATGTTGGAGACACCATCAGTCACCACAATAGCAATGTTGTCAACACCTGGACGATCTCCATTCTCTGCTGTAAACATTACTGTCCTCATTGTTTTCAAACCATCTGCAGTGTTGGTGTTGCCATAGCGATACGGAATAATATCAATAGCATTGTATACATCTTCTTTCTTTGAAAAATCTTTCAGCTGGAACTGGACATAATCCCCTGTGCTGTAGATGATAACACCTACCCTAACATTGCCATTGTCAATATCAGCTTCAAAGAGGAAATCTTTCATAAAGTCTTTCATCAACTCAAAGTTTGGTGCTGTTACACTGGTTGAGGCATCAAGAACAAACACAAGATCTAACCTAGCGTCAGCACAGCCTGAGAAAATATACAAGCAAAACAATTTCAATTGGTCTCAATGGGAGAAAGATAAAATATTTATTTATTGGTACTACAATTTTCTATCTGTTTGTAATCCTCACTCAGTGGGGATGCTTTTACCCACTGAGGTGTTGTGGTTAAGACGGGCTGACCCTGAGATTTAGAACACACTAACACTGACAGTTGTCAAGTACTCGCTTTATTCACGGCATCGAGCCATGACGGCGATGCATAACAGAGTAGTACGACGATTTCAAAACAGAGAGAAAATACTGAAGACACAAGCAACAAAGAAACCAAAGAAACCAACTGTAGCCCTTCATTAGGTCTACATCTTGGTCACCTTGTCCACAGACAGCAGCCTTGCGTGTGACTGACACGGCTAGGCATGAAACTACCCACAGTCCCATGTCACATGACATGGGACACAGGTATCATCGCTCACAAGAGCATGAAAAAAAAACTATATCAACTTCAACAGTTCAGTTGCGGTCCCACAGGGTCCGCAACCCAATGAATTAAAACTTCATTATTTATCCCCCTTGGCTGGTAACCATATGTGTTACATGTATATTATTTTTAAATAAAGTGAAGTGATCTCCCCTAAACTTTCTGAAATATTCTTAGATAACACTAATGTGGATGGCAACTCCAGTGCAGTTTGGATATAGACATTTTTTAAAAATCAATTATCAAATATTTAAATTTTTTAAATAGAATTGAATTTGGTAGAATAAAGAATAGCACACATAAAGGACAGCAAAAAATCTGTGTATAATAGTGCGGAACATTAGTACTTTATAAAGAAAGGCAGATGAACCAAGATAAAAATAAATTCATATGAGTTTTTTTTTTAGAAATTGAAAAATAGGGTAAAGTACTACTTCCGGTGATCTACTTGTATGTCAAATTTCTTGTATTTAACTCAAACAGAACTTAAGCTATAGACTTTTTAAAAACTGAAAGTAGAATAAGTTCCACTTCCAGTTAGCGGAAATGGCTGAAACAATATAGAACTACAAATTTGATATAATACTTATATATGAAATTTGTCAACCTAGTTATAACTGTACTTATGTTATCATATTCATGGACAGATACACAGATACACACACACAAAAACATGCTGACAAAACAGCTAAATTAAGTTTTCCGACTCAGGGATTTAAAAAAAAGTCTAGATTGGTTAAATTCTCAATTTTGATTTTTTCAATGACTACAATATTTCTTATATACTCCACATACGAGGAAGTAAAAACAGGCTCTTTGCAAGCTACAGAAGAGATTGCCTACTTTTACATTGTTTATAAAGAACTAGACTGAACAAGACATAATAAAAGCTTAAATTAAGTTAAATAATAAACTTACTAGCCAAAGCTTTTACTGTTGTTGGTGGGGGTGGTGGTGGCTGGGTAACAACTGGAGCAGATGTTGAGCCTGTAAAAACAAATGTATATAAAGGTTAATTTTCTTTCAAACGATATAGACCAACATAACAGAAGAAAAGTTGCTCTACAATTTAAGTCATGTGCAATGAATTTCAATGTTTATACCATTATTTTAAAATATAATTCATATTTAGGCCTAAGGCTAAAATAGAAATTTAAAAAGGACAAATATAAGCAATAATACGTAGGGAATAAAATGAAATCTTTTATAATTGCATCCTTTTATAAAAAAAAAATATTTTTCAATTCCAGATTTTTATATTCTTGCATAGGTTATAAAATTTGAAAACTTACACAAAGCAGAGAAAACTTTATGCCTGAGTTCTCTGAGTTCTGAAAAGTCTTGTACTGCAAATCTGTTTTCTTCTACTGGCTTGCTGGCAATACCATCCAACTCTTTGGTCTCTGTCAGACCAATACCAATAGCATAGATGTGAATACCCTGTGCTCTGGCTTCTTCAGCTTCTGGTATGGTTCTTTTGTTGTTGATGTTGGAGACACCATCAGTCACCACAATAGCAATGTTGTCAACACCTGGACGATCTCCATTCTCTGCAGTAAACATTACTGTCCTCATTGTTTTCAAACCATCTGCAGTGTTGGTGTTGCCATAGCGATACGGAATAATATCAATAGCATTGTATACATCTTCTTTCTTTGAAAAATCCTTCAGCTGGAACTGGACATAATCCCCTGTGCTGTAGATGATAACACCTACCCTAACATTGCCATTGTCAATATCAGCCTCAAAGAGGAAATCTTTCATAAAGTCTTTCATCAACTCAAAGTTTGGTGCTGTTACACTGGTTGAGGCATCAAGAACAAACACAAGATCTAACCTAGCATCAGCACAGCCTGAGGAAATATGCAAGCAAAACAATTTCAATTGGTCTCAATGAGAAAAAGATAAAATATTTTTTTATTGGTACTACTATTTTCTATCTGTATATTATTTTTAAATAAAGCGAAGTGATCTCCCCTAAACTTTCTGAAATATTCTTAGATAACACTAATGGGGGTGACAACTCCATTGCAGTTGGGATATAGACATTTTTTAAAAATCAATTATCAAATATTTAAATTTTTTAAATAGAATTGAAAAATTAGCACACATAATGGACAGCGAATAATCTGTGTATAATAGTGCGGAACATTAGTACTTTATAAAGAAAGGCTGATGAATCAAGATAAAAGTAAATTCATATGAGTTTTTCTGAGAAATTGAAAAATAGGGTAAAGTACTACTTCCGGTGTTCTACTTGTATGTGAAATTTCTTGTATTTAACTCAAACAGAACTTAAGCTATAGACTTTTTAAAAACTGAAAGTAGAATAAGTTCCACTTCCAGTTAGCAGATAGTGCTGAAAAGTTGATACAGAACTACAAATTTGATATAATACTTGTATATGAAATCTGTCAACCTAGTTGTAACAAAACTCATGTTATCATATTCACAGACAGACACACACACAGAGACATGCAGACAAAACTGCTAATTTAAGTTGTCCAACTCAGGGAGGTAAAAAAAAGCTGGATTTGTTAAATTCTCAATTTTTGATTTTTTCAATGACTACAATACTTCTTATATACTCCACATACGAGAAAGTAAAAACAGGCTCTTTGCAAGCTACAGAAGAGATTGCCTACTTTTACATTGTTTATAAAAATCTAGACTGAACAAGACATAATAAAAGCTTAAATAATAAACTTACTAGCCAAAGCTTTTACTGTTGTTGGTGGGGGTGGTGGTGGCTGGGTAACAACTGGAGCAGATGTTGAGCCTGTAAAAACAAATGTGAATAAACTTTAATTTCCTTTTTAAATGATGTAGACCAAAATTAGAGAAGAAAACTTTCTCTTAAATGTAAGTCATGTACATAGAATTTTAATAATATATACTATTATTTTAAAAGTATATTTCTTATTTAGACCTACTGCTAAAAATAATAAAAATTAAAATGACCAATATAAACATTAATCAATAGGAGATAATACAATTAAATCTTTTATAATTGCATCCTTTTGAAAAAAAAAATTAATTCCAGATGTTTATATATTTTTGAATAGGTAATAAAATTTAAAAACTTACACAAGGCAGAGAAAACTTTGTCTCTAAGTTCTCTGAGTTCTGAAAAGTCTTGTACAGCGAATCTGTTTTCTTCTACTGGCTTGCTGGCAATACCATCCAACTCTTTGGTCTCTGTCAGACCAATACCAATAGCATAGATGTGAATACCTTGTGCTCTGGCTTCTTCAGCTTCTGGTATGGTTCTTTTGTTGTTGATGTTGGAGACACCATCAGTCACCACAATAGCAATGTTGTCAACACCTGGACGATCTCCATTCTCTGTTGTAAACATTACTGTCCTCATTGTTTTCAAACCATCTGCAGTGTTGGTGTTGCCATAGCGATACGGAATAATATCAATAGCATTGTATACATCTTCTTTCTTTGAAAAATCTTTCAACTGGAACTGGACATAATCCCCTGTGCTGTAGATGATAACACCTACCCTCACATTGCCATTGTCAATATCAGCTCCAAAGAGGAAATCTTTCATAAAGTCTTTCATCAACTCAAAGTTTGGTGCAGTTACACTGGTTGAGGCATCAAGAACAAACACAAGATCTATTTTAGCATCATTACAGCCTGAAAATTAAAACAGAAATCATGAAGAAAATGTTTGTTTGAATGCAAGTTGGTAAATTGAAACATAAATTACTTCATTTGTTCTGTTTAAAAAACACATTTTCTATTGAGGCATTATGCTCTCTTTAAAGTAAGATTGAATATTCTTTGTGTGAAAAATTATTCACAAAGCATATTTTGAGAATTCTGCACAGGTTACAATACTCGCATTAATCTAACTGTTTCATTAAAATTGATAATACATACAGCTTTAAGAGTTTATTCTTAATTTTTTTTAATAAAAATCTTGGCCAAGATGTAACACAAAATGATTGAAATGTATACAAAATATTTAAAGTGAACTAGTAAATTTTATTCAATTCAATATTTTGCTTTATATCATGTTGTAGTATAAAGTTTGGGTTAAAAATTTAAATCAGTAATTATAGTATCTAACCTAGGCAAATTTTATGTTAAAAAATAATTCACTTACTGACTACAGTTTTTGGAGGAGCAGTCACTGGAGCTTTTGTTGTAGCTGTGGAATAAAATTATATATATTTTTTAAAATTATTTTTTTTTCTAAATTTTAATCTTAACCACCTTTTTTTAAAGTTACATTATAACTCATCATTAATATGTAGGCTTCAGATACAGCAATTAACTCACCTGATGCTGTCTTTTTTGTTGTGGTTCTTGTAGCTGCTGCAACACAAGTTCAAAATTTGTAATTTTTAATACAATAAAAGACCTATAAATTAAATGATTTTTCCAAATTTAAAAATTTAATGAACTTTCTTTAAATTGAGGTTCTAAAATTGAATGAACAAATGCAGAAATTTATAATATTTTTGTGTTTTGGGTTAAAGTAAATCTGATATTCTGATTTAAGTCGCTAATAAACTATTTAATTAGAAACTCATGCCATTCTGCAAACCATAAAAAGTGTTCCAGTGTTAAAGATGAATAAAAATGTTAGCTAATTTTATTAATACATGTTACTTAAGAAGTTAGTAAAGTTTTAGATTTTTTCTTAAAACTGTAAGATATCAGAATTATAAGGACTACTATTTTAAAAAAAGAAAAGATTTTATTTAGATTTCAAGGAGTTGTTTTACTAAATATTCTACGATTAAGTATAGAAAATGACTGTATATGTAAAATATTTTAATCATTGATTTGCATTAATTTTTATCATATCAATGCTAAACATATTTTCATTGCACAAATGCTTAAGACTACCAATCAATCTTTATGTCTTAAAAGAAAAACAGGTCCTATAGTATTTTAAGCAACTATATTCAACTATCATTTTTGCATAGCAGTGCCAACAATTTTTTAAAGTATTATTTGCATCACTGGCAGCACCTAGAAAATATATTTGGTGCTATAATTTCTGAGTGCATAGAATTAGAAAAGTTAAATGTGAGCATTACTTCTACTAATTTTTTAAATATTTCTAGAACAGGAATATGTGAAAATCTAAGGTGCATTATAAAGTGCTTATGTGTGCATTTTTCCAAGCTACTTTATCAATGATGTGTGTAAAATAGAGAAGTGAACACAACTAAATAAAACAACACTTTCTTGTATTGTTTTGAACACAACTCTCACCAATTATAATTTATAGTCAATATATTAGTAGCAATGAAGGTGTTTGGAATTTAAATCTGTATGATCATTCAAAACCATGCTGGCATTACATGCAAAAGGAAAATACCTTTTCAGGTGGCTTGGGTGTGTTTAGTCTGTTACTGGGTTAGTTTCTTGATGACATCACTTGATGAATTGGTTAGTACTAAAAGTTACCCTGATACTTTCACTTGGTTATAACTTATTCATTTTGTCATGAAGAATAATTTGAAGAACAACAAAAAAATGTATATGGCAAAAAACTAAGTCTGTTCTCCAATGTTAGTCGATTTTGGCATTAATAAGAAGAAAAAATCATTTCAAAAGGTAAAACGTTTAAATAAAGCTGTACAGATAGATTTTTTTTTTTAAAGTTTTTTCTATACAAAAAATCAAAAGAAAAAAATAAATCTATTCAATAAAGCAACAGAAGAAAATTATAAAATAAAAACAACAGGATCCTCTGGACCTAGAATAAAATAATGCAGACAAGCTTAATTAGAAGAGGTGATTAATCAAAAACTATCTAAATGTCAGGGCCCCAAAATAAAATTAACTTGTTACATCGGAGGCAATTTTACATTAAATAATGCACACAATTTGTATTTGATAGTTTTAAGCATATTCCAAAAAGAGGATTTTTGTTACAATTTTTATCCACTATAGCCAAAAAGACCAAAAAATAACTTTGATAACCGCTCTAACCACAGAATTCTGAATTTAACTTTTAGGAATTTGAATCAGACACATTCAGAGTTGATCTATGTACAAAACTATCGTAAATCATTTAGCTAGGTAATTTTTTTTTTCTCAAAATAGGTATAAATACATAAGATATAGTTAGATAATAAATGAGAATTTTTTAAAATATCAAATACAAAGGGTGACTTATTTAATATAAATACTCCCAGAATTTAAATTTGTAAAATATGGCATAAAATAAAGTATTAAAACATGAATTAAAAGAAATTCCTGCAAAATAAATTTATTAATAAAATAAGCAATGATGCTAAAATAAATTAATGTTTTTGAATTAATAGTGTTAGCTTTTAAGTTAAACTATCTAATTACTAGAATTATTAGAAATATATCTAAACAAAGGAAAGAATTAAAATTAAATTGACATTTGCATTAAATGTATATAGGTTTGAATAATATGTAACATACATAACACAACTAACTGGTACAATTTTAAATATTATTAGAATTATTAGAATAATCATATATTAAAAAGTTACCTCTATTGTCAGATTAAAAAGTACCTAAAAGATGCACCGACTATTGAACTAATATTAAAAAAAATTAAAAACAACTAAAAAACTACTATATTTAACATAATTTATGCTTACGTTTTCTTGTGTCCACTGTTGAAATTTAAAAGAAAAAATATTGTAAACTATCAAAGTTTTTTAAAAAATTTTTTAATCAAACATAATCAAACAAGTGATTAATTGATTAATCAAACATAAACTATGAAACTTGATTATATGCCCTTATCTAAATTTCCATAAATTGATTTATGTTCAATCTGCAAAAATATAATAGTTTTGTCTATAAAAAAAAATTATCACCTACATGCACTTATTTGCTTTCTCAGTATTGCTCCATATCGTTCCAGCTCTCCATAATCAGAAAAGGTAAACACATTTTCAGTGGATGATGCCACGCTTTCCATTTCTTTTTTATCAACCAGACCAATTCCAATTGTATATAAAACTCCATTCTTACTTTCAATTGATTTTGTCAACGCTTCAATCTGTAAAATATTTTTATTTTATTTTTCACTATTAATAAATTATGTAAAATAACTTTTAAACAATGATTAGACCTAAGCTGTACAAGAAACAACTGTTTTTAAATTGATTCAAAAAAACATTTTGTCTTAAAGATTTGCAAACTAACTATAGAATTTTAAAGCCTGGCAGTAGTTCAAAAAAGTTTATTAACATGAAATAGGCAAAAATTTAAAACTACACAAAGATCTTACTACATGGACAGATTTGATTATAAACATTTATATTTTTTTGGTAAAATTATGTTTTAACAAGACTTAAAAAGTGGATAGCATAGTAAACAATTACAGAAGAATAATTAATATAATCTCAATAATAGTGAAATATTTAAATTAAAAATTGATGTCATAATTCTAAAACAAGGAGCGATTTTAAAACGATAAATCTATTATTAGATAAAATAACTCACTTCTGACATCTTTTGCTGAGAGTTTGTATCAGTAATGATGACAACAGCATTTGGAACATTCTTCCTGTCACCTTTTTCTTCTTTTAAAATATCACTTTCTAGCAATCTCAATGAAGCTATGAGATTAAACCTTGGACTTCTCATGAAATTCTTTGAAATGCCATCCAGAGCTTCAACAGCACCTTCATTAGAAGTTCGCCTGTAAAAATATTTTTAACAATAAATTATAAATATAGCACAATTGAACAATGTTTATTTTTGGTCTAAAAAGGCTCAAGTCAGAGAGCTAAGTCCAAATACTAAAGTTGAAGTTATTATTTCAAATATATACACCCTATATAAAGTATTTTTACCATATACTGCAAGAGCATGAATAGACAGTTTGACATTATACTTATGTAACATAATTATAAGCTAAGCAATAATTTTTATACATACCCTTGTAAATCATAAACTTTGTAAGTTGGGGACAAAATTACAGATGCCCTAACTTTTCCTCCATCAATATCAGCAGTATTCAACATTGACTGTATATAATCAATCAGCTGTTTAAATTCATTGTCAGTTCGTTGAGGATTAAAATGGACGATGAACACAATATCAACAGCACTTTGTCCTAAAAAATTAATGAAGGCCCATAAGACGGTTCTCAAATTGCAATTTATAAAACTAGTATGTCTAACCATTAACTACATTATTTTTCGACGGACCACAAAGTTTCAAAGGGTGGGCTACTACATTTTTAACAATAACAAGCAAATGCTTGTTCAAGTACTACAGATAGAGATTAACAATACTGACATTGGTTGTTTGATTGCATCAAACCATTTGGACATTCAAAGAGGGTTTGAAAAACTTTAAGAATTATTTGCAATGTTATTAAAATGCAATTTCCATTAGAATATAGAAAAGCCTGAAGCTTTTAAACATTAATCTTTTTCAAAAGGCACAATTAAATTTATGAGAAGAGTAAAGCACTCAAACAGATGTGGTATTGATTCAGTGGCCAATTTAAGTTGTAAAATTAGACATTTTCATGAAGCTTAAAGACACATTACAACTTTAAATGTGTAAACAGAAATGTATAGTCTCAAAAAAAAATATTTCAGTGATTAGGTTACTTTTGATGTTATTGAAAAAAAAAATTGTTTTTTCCCATGTCAGTAACAATGAAATTGTTCCACTGTTTAAAGTGATTTGATGGCTACATAATAAGTCTCTTATTGTAAAAAAAAACAAAACAAGCAGCTCAAACTGAATTCTTAAAACAAAAACACCATAATTAAAAAAACTATAACAATAAACAACTCACCTCTTAGATCAAACTTGCCAGTAACTACTTCTGAAATCAACCATTATCTAGATTAGTCCAATATACAATTAAGCAGCATAAAAATTTCAGATATCATTATTATAATCTCGAGTTCTACGCAAAAATCAACCTTATTATATTATAGTTAAATTTTGTATATTATACATTTTTTGTGTATTGTATTACTAATAATTTTTTTTTTTATTATTATGCATTAAATTAAATTGAAATTGTGTGTAAATTCTTTATATAATGTATTATTATATAATTTTAAAAACTTGTTTTTAATTGCATCTATTTAAAAATTAAGTCTTTGATAATATTCAACTTTTGATTGTTCAAATTCTGAAAAATATCAGAAACAAACTTAAAGAAACTAGTTTAATCAATACCTGAACTGGCCCAAACAATATTAGATTGTTTCAATAATAAATTGTGTGGACCTAAAACATTGCAAAATAACTATGCAAGAAATTTGTGCTGCTAAATAAAAACTAGTGAAAACTATAGTAAATGTGCTGAAAAAAAATATAACTAAAATGAGTCAAAGCAATTGGCATTTAGAAAGCAGAAAATCAAATTTTTTTTAAAAAACATTATTTCCCCTTGATTCAGTAAATCATGTAACGTTAGAGTTGACTTGCATGAATGGCTGACTTTGTTTTCGGACAGTTTTACACCAATTTAAACTCTGCATTATTTTAATGCCATAGAACAATTAAGAACCAAATTTTTAATATCTGGGTAGTAAATGTTTTTTTATCCAAAATTTGATTCAGAGAAATGCTGAATTTACTATCTGCTACTTTTCAAAGACAATTTAAATACTTTTAAGTCAACTGTTTTTAGCATCATGAAATTACATCATAAAAAAATAAACAATTATTATCCCAAAATCAATATTCTAAAATGTTTTCTGATATTTTATTTTTGGCTCTTGTTCAAAATAGCTTAAGTGCAAAAAAAACTCATTTTGTCACAGAAGGTCAAAATTATGTAATTAAATAATTTATCATACATTTTCAAATGTATCTGTAAAATATTGTTTATATTTAATAAAGCACCCCACCAATTTCCTAAACAATAATTTGTTCTTCTGCTTTCATCAATATTCTAAAATTCTAAGCCTAAAATAATTTACCCTAAAAGTGAATGCAGTTTTCATGCAGTGCTGTGGGGAACTGAAAAAAAAATTAATTTCACTGTGCTGTGCTAAATCAAATGCAAAATGGTAAAAAAAGCAAATATTTTTATTAAATGTTGAAAAGTAAATAATCTGCAGCAGATCCACTCTGTATCCTAATTTTAATCAAAACAAGACAAAATAAAAATTAAAAAGTGAAAATTGATATATATTTTTCTACAGTGTGTTTGTATCAGGGAAACTTAATCATGCACATCATCTCTCAGAGTTATAAATAGCATGCAATTTTCATCAATGTTATTATCAGTTTTTTTACTCTTCATGAATTAAATGTTACTAATTAATTGATTTTAATAGAATTATAAGGGGAAAAAATTGAGTTTATTGAAAAACTTTAACATGCATAAAATAAATCTGACTTGTATTAGAAAAAGATGCAATGCAATGTAGAATATAAATAGCTAATAAGAACCTGTTGTCTTTGTAGGCATAGGAGGTTTAGTTGCTGGTGCACCCCCTTTGACTGAGGACAGAAAATTCTAAAATAAAAATCATACTGCAATGTTTCTGCCGTACACCATGATATCTTACAAGCCAAAATCTCCTACTTAAGTTGAGATGTGTTTAGTTTTTCAATTGAAGTAAATTTCAAAATCCATTAATTTGTCCTTTGTGATAATTACCAATGAAAAATTATCAATAAAAGAGCATGCAGAATAGAATCCTAGAAATTTTTTTTTTAATATTACACAGATATCCATCAACATACTATATGAGCCAATAATATTGCATTTTTAACACCACTGTTCAACCAAAGGAATTATAGCAATTATGCTCAAGCAATTTACTCACAAACTCCAATTGCATTTTTAATATTCTCAATAGCATTTGGACTAGCAATTTCTGCATAAGACTTCAAAATTATAGAAGATTTGTCCGCTGGGTCACTTGCTACACTCCTAAGTTCTGCAGCATTTGCATTTTCTAATCCGATTGTGATTAGCTGTAAATTTAGAAATCAAAATAGAGTGTCATTTTTTTTAAATGAAATATGAAGACTAATTAAGTTAGGCAAACAAAGGTTGTCTTTCTCCACTACAATTTTAACTACTTATGTAACTGCTTTTTCAATTTACTTATTTGGAATTATATGGAAATAGTCCATTACTTTATAGCCACTAGACTTCAATTTTTGTGCTTCTGCAAAAAATTTCTTTTCATCCTCTGTATGCTTTTCATCTGTGATCATAACAATGATATTCTGGACCCCAGCTCGATCCACTGCTTTAGCAAATAGTTTACCAGGTACCTAGAAAGTACAATACTATAGCTGTTACAACCTACACATATTGAAGTGGAATTTTGTCAACATTGTATCAGTGATTTGGTAAAATAGAAACTACAGATTATACAAATCATTTATTGTTATCAAGCAATATATTTGGTAAAATAGAAACTACAGATTATACAAATCATTTATTGTTACCAAGCAATATATTGTAGATATATTAAGCTGTGTTAACTGTCATTACAAAAATTAGATTATTGTTGAACAAAGGCGGTATACTAACAAGCTTATAACAAATGACACATCAATCCAGCAAAATTATTAGTACTAATTATAAAATTTTAACTTTTGCTATTAAATAAAATACTTACATCTTTGAGCACCAGCTCACCATCAGCATCTTTAGATCTATGTTTATCTGTAATACCTTTAAGTTTCTTTATCATATCATCAGCTGTCTTTAATTCATTCAAAGTAAACAACTGTTGAGAAAAAATAAATTTGTGACAGCAACTTTTTAAACATGTGTATATTAAAATGTGTTCATTTGTGAAATATGTCAAATTCTGTGTAACAAAGAACTGGAGGATGACCAAGATGAAAATATAAAAAGCCATTAACAACTGAATGAGAAGAGTTCTCCCTAGTGCTGTCCAAATGCCATAAGTAATATCAATTTTTGGATCAGGACCTGCTAAGGAAATTAAGAGATTGGGTTGAATAGACAAAACTTTTGACAAGAAAATCATGCAGACTCAATATGGAACCCTAAATGCAGAGAGAAAGGCAGCTGTCTTAAAGACACTAGGTGAGAATGGCCAAGGACAGAGAACTCTGAGCAGTAGTTAGCAGCCCATACTATAGCTGAAGTGTCAGGAGAAGATAAATATCTTTATTACTATTTTTAACAGTTAATTAACTATTTAATTTAACCCCACTGACATACCTGATTGCGAGTTCTTTTAGCATAATTAGCAATAGCAAGCCTGATATCCCCGTTGATAATCTTTGCACTAGCCTCAGTTATTATGGTGCTCAAAAATGGTATAAAGTATTTTGTAATACTCTCTGGTTTTGTCTTAGGGGAGAAATGATAGATAATGGCAATATCTGCCTGTCCACTGGCTGAAATTATAAACATATATCATTAAGATTCAATTTCATTTAAGATTTCAAAACAAAAAGCAGTTTTAGCAGGCGTAAAAGCATGATACTTTTGAATACAGTTCAAAATCTTTTAAAGAAGATTTATAGTTCTACAAGCCAAAATATTTGCATTGTGTACATAGCCTAACTCTAAACATAAACTCCTGAAAAATAAGCACTGGATTGATTATTAGACCATCAAATTAGACCATCAATGCTGATACAAAAGACAACAAAAAACAAAAATTCAACATATAACACCACATACCAGCAGAACGGACCATGTTAATTTTTTCATCCCTAGCTTCTGCTAATTGTACTGGAGATAAATGCATATAATCAGTAAGGTTAGTCACATTTACTGTATTGTTTTTCATTAAAAAGATATGATTGTTTTGCCATTTTTTATTTACTAGACCTATGTTTAATGTTTAGAAGCAGCAATCAATTTTTTAAATTACTAATTTAAAATTAGATCTAGATCTAGATTTATATTTATCCTAAAATGGACTTGGATTACTTTAACAGTTTAATGTAGTCATTATAATTATGAAAAACAAAGGTTTGCCTTTAACTTTAACTAACAGTTGAATTTGATTTCTTAATTCTCATATTTAAGTTATTTTATTAAAAAAACTCATGCAAGTGCTAAATTTATGTAAAAAGTGTAGATTTGTGCTTAAGACAATTGACGCTTTTAGCTACATTGATCTATCAGCCATTATTATATGTGTGTTTATTGCTATTAGATAAAATGTTTAGCAAAATTGCAGAGTAGGCATAGATCTAGGAACCACATTAAATTGACCTGTGCTTAATCTTTACTTAGATCTAATTTTATTGTATCATTGAGAAAACATAATATTTCAAGAAATGAGGCCTATTAAATTAATTAATAATTATTAAACTCACATGTTTTTGCAGTAAAAAAAAAGCAAAAACATCGAATAATTTAATATTAGGGCCTAATGATATTCTAATTTTAATAAAGCACTAGAATTCACTAGATCTAGAATCTAGATCTAGATTTAGATCTCTAGAATACTCTACTCTAGATCTTGCAATAGAGTAGGCTTAAATCAGTGAGAAGTTGTTGTTTTTTTTTTTTTTAATGGGCTGGTCTTCTTGTACACTTCTCTCGGCCGTTGCTGACTTGTAGAAATCTAGCTAGATCTAGAATCTAGAGATCTAATCTAGATCTGTAGAAAACTAAATCTAGACCTAGAGTCTAGATCTAGTTTAAAGTTTAAATAGATCTATAACTAGATCTATAGAGATCAATAGATTCTAGATCTAAGTCTAGATCTAGTAGGCTTAGAGTAGTAGGCTAGACTAGAGTCTAGCTAGGCTAGCAGACGACTGACAAATGAGAACTAAAAAAGTAAAATTCGTTTCCTTTCTCCAAATCATCCAAATTAAATATTAAATGTAGATTCTATATCTAAATCTAGATCTAGATTTTACATCTAGATTTAGAGAGAATCTAGATCTAAATCTGGACTGTTTATTATAACAACTAAATTTAATTTTAGATTTAGACTAGATCTAGATATCTAGAGTCTAGATTCTAGATCTAGAATCTAGAATAGATCTCTAGAACTACCGGAGATTTTCTTGAGAAGGGGGCTAAATGAAAGCTCTTTAAGAAACGAGTCAAAATATGCTATCTCCAGTTTCGAAACGCGACATTTCAAATCTGCTTGATCTAGAATCTAGACTCTAGATATCAAATAAAGTAGCTAGATCTAGATCTAGTTAGATCTAGATTTACCTATCTAGCCTAGATCTAGACCTCGATTCTAGATTTACAGTCTATAAAATTATGTTCATGAATTATTTTGACGTTTTTCTTATTGAATATTGTACACTAGGCATGCTGCCCAGCTTCGCTTAGGCTTTCGAAAACATTGAGAATTTGAATGCTTAATTAATTCGCCCGAAGGTCGGTCTACGACCTCAAGAGTTATGAAGAGGTTCCTCCGTGGACATTTTTTTTCGATTTATAGCTCATATAAGGTACCGGTCAGTCGAGGTCAGTTTTGACCCCCACATCGTAGACTTTTCGGCCAACCGGCCCCCGTGTTCTGTCGCACCAAGGCAAGATCATGCCAAATTTGAAGCGCCTGCGGCGCCGGGAAGTGCCCTATCGGACACCCGACAAAGAATTTTTTTTTAAAGTTTAGCCCGAGCATAATAAAAAAGAATACATTAACCAAGTTGACTTGCTGTGTCTTGAACCCGCACCACCTGCGTGGTTTAATGTACACTAACATCTCCGCTATTTAGGCACCTTATAAAATACGGTGAATGAAACACGTATTTTAAAATCTTAACTTACGCGAATATGCCTATTCTTTCAAATTAATTTTTTATCCCAAATTAGCCAGTTCCAAACTAAGATTTTGTATAAAATAAATAAGTCTTGAAATAGTTTAGTCCTAATATAGAAATTTATTTTTGGAATTGATTTTAGAGAAGTTAGAGTCTAAATCTAGATCTTAGCGGCCGTCTACGTCTAGCTAGATCTAGTTATTGCGTAGATTTAGATTTAGTCTAGATCTAGAATCCAAATACATAAAATAAATTTTATGAGTTTAGGCCGGAAAAATTGTATTGTATACATTTCATAGTGTACGTAGATCTAAATCAAATTTGAATGAAATAGTTCATTTCTTTTCATTCTAAACACGGCAGATGACGTCATTAGTTAATGTATAAGCAATAGTGACGTCACAGTTTTATGCGTTCTTTTTCACATATATTAATGCTTTTCCGGTTGCATAAATAATACTGTTTCTCTACATTCGAATACGCCTTTAATTTTTTTTTTCTTCTTTAAATAAAATTGTGGTTATACATTTAAAACATCTAACATATTATTTTCAACAAAAGTCCGTAAAAAATTCTCGATATATCGCTGCCGATTCTGACGTGATGTCCGGCGAAAATTTTTTGCGGACAGAGAAAGAGAGAGAGAGAGAGAGAGAGATGTGCGCACATTGGGCTTTTATATATTAGGATAGGCTATGCTTCGATTAAAGTTATCTGGGTTATTGGCCTAACAATGTAGATCTAGATTCTAGAATATAGATCTAGTCTAGATTCTAGAGTCTATAGGCTAAATCTAAATTTAGATCTAGATCTAACTATAGAGACTATAGATCTAGATAGATGCTATTTTATGTTTATAAAAATAAAATTATTTCAATATAAATTATCTCTAGATCTAAGTAAAGACAGTTTGTAAGATTTACTTATTTTGTTTTCAATTTAGACCAGGGGTCTCCAAACTACGGCCCGCGGGCCGGATGCGGCCCGCGAGGTCCTCTCATCCGGCCCGCGGAGATCTTTTTGTCCACGGAAAAAACGTTTGTTGGTGATGGCTGAGGAACTTTGCCCAGAAAAACCAATGACATGCCTGGAAGAAACTGGCCCCCGAACTGAAAATTGATAGTTAATGCGGCCCTCGGACTGAAAAGTTTGGAGACCCCTGATTTAGACCAACAAAGGGGTACTAGGCTAGTAGTAGGCTGTCTATGTCCTACCACAATATACTTGTCATGTCCTATCATAGTAGACTGTCCATGTCCTACCACAGTAGACTTGTCATGTCCTACCACAGTAGACTGTCCATGTCCTACCATAGTAGACTGTCCATGTCCTACCACAGTAGACTGTCCATGTCCTACCACAGTAGACTGTCCATGTCCTACCACAGTATACTTGTCATGTCCTACCACAGTAGACTGTCCATGTCCTACCACAGTAGACTTGTCATGTCCTACCACAGTAGACTGTCCATGTCCTACCACAGTAGACTGTCCATGTCCTACCACTGTAGACTGTCTATGTCCTACCACAATATACTTGTCATGTCCTACCACAGTAGACTGTCCATGTCCTACCACAGTAGACTGTCCATGTCCTACCATAGTAGACTGTCCATGTCCTACCACAGTAGACTGTCCATGTCCGACCACTGTAGACTGTCTATGTCCTACCACAATATACTTGTCATGTCCTACCACAGTAGACTGTCCATGTCCTACCACAGTAGACTGTCCATGTCCTACCACAGTAGACTGTCCATGTCCTACCACAGTAGACTGTCCATGTCCTACCACAGTAGACTGTCCATGTCCTACCACAGTAGACTGTCCATGTCCTACCACAGTAGACTGTCCATGTCCTACCACAGTAGACTGTCCATGTCCTACCACAGTAGACTGTCCATGTCCTACCATAGTAGACTGTCCATGTCCTACCACAGTAGACTGTCCATGTCCTACCACAGTATACTGTCCATGTCCTACCACAGTAGACTGCCCATGTCCAAAAATAGTAGACTATTCATGTCCTACCATATTACTTGTACTATCATACTAGAAATGTATATTTTATGGTGTTCATTTTGTTGCATTTTGTTGTACATATGTATAATAATTTAGCAGTGGGGGGGATAGGGGTCATTACCCAGGGGGGTAATGATTTGGGGCGTGGGATAGGAGGGAATTTTATGCTCCCACTAGTGATTTAACTGTATTAGGCCAAAGTAATGCGTAAATGCAAAATACAATCTTTCCCTTCAGCAGGCTATATCAATACGAAATTTAAAAAAAAAATACCAGAGAAATAGTTTTATTTTATGATGCTGTTAGTTCAGTGTTCAGACAATTTTTTAAAAAAAGCTTATTAAGATTTCCAAAGTTAGAAAATATAAAGTAAAAAATAATATCAAAATTGTTCTCATGCTGTGTGGGGCAAGACCATGCGATTATAAAGATGTTAGCTTAGTCATTCATACGGCCAGCTTATAATTTTTCTATACACACACACACATATATATATATATATATATATATATATATATATATATATATATATATATATGCACACAGTGTCTTTTTCAATGATTCAAACTCCGTCTTATTGAATCGAGCAAAGTGCATATGAAATGCATATTGGTATAGTGAATGGTTGCTGCAATACGGTGCCATCATGCCTACGGCTTACGTGCTGCCAGCTTCTTGTACACTTCTGTCTCGACCGTTGCCAGCTCGTCGGCCGTTGCTGGCTTGTACGTGTCCTCCCTAGAACTAGCTGCGGTGTGCAACTTAGCATTGTCCGCGAGGCCTACCCCCACGGTGAAGATTTGCGTCCCTTTCTCCTTCATCGTCCTGGCCAGCTTCGCTATGTTTTTAGTATCCCCGGGAGTGTCCCCGTCCGTTAGAATAACCAACGCCCTGGCCGTTTTCGGTACGGATGCCTTCTCTTTCTCCTTGAAAACCTTCACGCCTATGTCTTTCAACGCATTAATCAAATGCCCTGCTTTAAATTTTTTCACTTTCAAAGTATTTATAGCTTTCAAAATGTCTTCCTTCTTCTTGAATTTCTCCAAATTGAACACGATTTTAGGCTTCATTCTATACATTATGACGCTGACCCTGACGTTTTTAGAACTGAAGTCGATTTTTTCGACTATACCACGCATGAAATTCTTAAAAGCCTGCAAGTGCTTATTGTGTTTGACGTTGGTCGAAGCATGAAAGAGAAAAGCGATGTCTAGACTCTTGGAGGCTGAAAATATGGTTAATTGTTGTGGGGGAAGGGGTAAGACTTGTTTTATTAATGTAGTTATGGATGACAAAGGGAAACATAGTCTAGATAGAATACGTGCAGTATTAGGCGTATGCTAGATGTAGGATTACGGTAAGAGGATAAAACTGATCCGTTATTTCTTAGATTAATTTAAACCTTCGGACAAAGATGTAGGCTATACAAATTGGAGGGGAACCTTAGCTTTTATATACATTCGTTTATGTTCGGCAAAATAAACGAAATACAGTTACAGACCAAAAAAAATCAAAGCTTGAACATATAGGATATTACTTTAATATCTTTTTCCAACGGAAAATAAACAGTTGTAATCATTAAAAGAACTAACCGCTTCAGGGTTGTTTTTATTTTTACTTTTTAATTGATCTATGTTTTAAAATACGTTTTTTACTTAGAAAAGACTATGTGCATACTCAAGATTACACTAACGAAACATCTTTTTGCAATGACGGCACTCCGGCAATGTTAAATCCTACATCTCGCATACCGTAGCATTAACTCAGTTAAAGGAAGATTAGGGGTAGGGAGATAAAAGGGCAATCATACAGAGGAAGGGGAGATAAGCAGAACATAACTGTGTAAATTGTTCACCATCTAACCAATTTAAACGAAAACCTGGTCTAAAGATGTTTACAATAACTTTACCGAACAGGTGCTCTTTTTGAGACTATTTGGCTATATTTAAACAAACAAAAACCAGCTTCTGACAATAGCAATTCTATCAGTCATTTCTGCCTTTGCTTGGCCTTACTAGATGGTGAAATTTACAAAGTCTGTATTCACTAGCTAATCTAACATTGGGATGAAAATATCATCAAAATATAAGGAAGGAAATATGCTTTTATCTTGTCGCGAACTAAACAACGCGTATTGGTTAAGTAGATGTAAGGTAGGACTTAGGAAAGTAAGACAATAATGTTAATTCACTAGTGAAACAACTGTGCACGAGACAAATACAAACACGTGACAACAGTTTTGACCAATACTAAACGACAACACAAAAGAGTTCACGTCAACAGGCGACCCAGTTTGGTAGTGATTTTTAACACTCAATCGCTTAAACCAGGGGTCATAACCATTGGATTCCAGAGCCGCATGTATAAATGCTGCAGTAGGCTTAGGAATAGGGGGGGGAGGGGTCATCCTTATATGAAGGCACTCACCTGGGTTAGAGTTCACATTTACCACATTGTGCTACATGGGGGGGGGGGGTGTTTAAAAAGTGTGACGTGGCAGATCAACATTTTGAACGTAGATCTAGTACACCCTAATGGCGGATGTTTACATAGCGACTGATCAGTGACGTCATTTGCAAGGGGTCCATATGTAACAATTAAGAATAAAATGACGAAAAAAATCCTCTTTTCGGAAGAATTCTGTTTATTTTTAGTTGGCTGTGCGGAGTAGAACGTAACATCATTTTATTATCCAGGGACTTTTTCTTTGGTTTTTGCAATTGCGTGTGATTATGGGATGATGAAAATCCTAAAATAGTCACGTTTTTTTAAGGACGACCCTTTTATAAGCATCAGGTAAAAAATAGTGACTGTGAAATGTGTTTTAAAAAGAAAGTAAATCTATACAGCCTAATAATGATACGTTGTTTTACAAAACTAATTGGAAACATTCAGCGTCACTCACACGGCGAAGGAATCTAAAGTCATTAAATAAGGTTTTTAACCCCTGGCTTTGCATACATTACCTGTTCATTTGTACAATTTTAAACACCTACCTCGCTGGTTAGGCTTGCACGTCTAGGCTAACTTATTCTAGAAGCATGTTTTAATAAGCTATAAACCTATTTATTCTATAGTAACAATGAAACAAAAAAACTTATACAACGGGGTGTTTTAATTCTATGACTTTATATAATTATATATACCCTATGATTTTAAATTATTTGAAGAAAAATATAATTACACAAACAAGTTAATTAAAGAAGCAGATGTTTGTAATAACCAACAGTCACACACATTCACACAAAAGTCGATGTTTTGGCCACAACCTAGATGCTATGGTGAAATAAATACAACAGTAAAAACATCGACTAACCTGGTGTATCAGCCATCATTTGTGCTGTGGGTTTAAAACAAAACACGTGTAAACAATTGTTATAATGTTCGTTTAGTGTTTCTTTCAGGCTTTTTTTCTCCGGGGGGGGGGGGGGAGCTGACCCTTGAAATTTTCGAGGGGGTTGGGGAAACTGTTAGAAGTATATTTTCTTTATAAATTATACTTTGTTCGGGTTGGGGCGATAGACGTTCTTCGAGGGGGGGGGGGGGGGGGACCCCCCACTCCGAAGAGATGCCTGAAAAAAACTCTGGGCTCATTGTAATGTGTTTTAAATTATTTATTTTTTAATTTTATTTGTTGTTTTATATGAATTTAAGAATGACATTTTGCGCTACGTTGAGTGGTAATCAGAGGCGTAGCGAGGGGGGGGGGGGGGGTTGCGGGGGGTGCGGACCGCACCGGGCGACACCATTTAGGGGGGTGACACCAAGGCACAAAATAGCAAAATGTATAGAGAAAAACTTGAGGGGGGGTGCAAATCAAAAGTTTGAGGGGGGATGCAAATCGAAAATTTGAAAGTTTGTCCCCGGGAAGGGTCGCTACGCCTCTGGGGGGTGACACCATTAAGTGCCGCACCGGGTGACACCCGACCTCGCTACGCCACTGGTGGTAATGACAATTTAACTTGAGATTATATATCAGCAAGAAATATCGAACTTTCCCAACCGGTATAATGAAAAAATGGAAACATTTAGACCTATTTGTGATTATGTTTGTAAAGGTACTTACATTCCTCGTCCATCATAAGATCTTCAGCTGCAAAAAAAGTAATTTCAATAAATTATAAATTAATTAGTATTTTACGTTATTTTACGTTGGTAATTAAACAATAATATAAGAACACAAAGTGATTTAGAACTTATTGTTTGTGTTCCGTAGCGGGGGATACGGTCCGCAGCGGGTGATAACATTAAGAGGGGGGAGGGGAGATGACACCATTTTTTTCTTAATCATAAAATTTGCCGTCAAAACAATGTATTTATCGATTTACGATTTTTAAAAAATGATAGAGATATGGGGTTGGGTTGGTGGGGGGGGGGACCTAGTAACGCCACCGATTGTAAAGAAATATTTTAAAATTTCTAAAAAAAAAAATTATTTGTAGTAAAATATGTTCAATTATTTTCTCAACCTACCTGTGCCAATAGAGAGCAGACAAACTAGGACAAGCGCTGCCCTTAAAAGGCCGCTTGTGTCCATTTTTGTCTGAAATATAGGAAACAAAACAAAATATTAGAAAAACTGAATTATAGGAAACAAAACAAAATATTAGACAACTGAAATATAGGAAACAAAACAAAATATTAGAGAAATGAAATATAGGAAACAAAACAAAATATTAGAGAACTGAAATATAGGATACAAATACAAAAATACGAGAGAATAATAAAAACACTCATGTTTCAAATGATTATCATACTAAATGAATTTACAATGGAATATATAATATAGAGAACTTGCTACAAATAAAAGTGAAAGATTAGACCAAATTTGATTTTACTTTTATTCTCACATTACAGACAAAATATATATTTAAATATTTTCCAAATAATTGTGATCAAAATGCTTAAAATACATGTTGTAGACCTGACTCCTCAATAATAATGACAAAAAGTTAGGCTACTCATCAATTTTAAATTACTTCCCTTTAAAAAATTGTTAATTCACAAACAAATAACACATTTTTGAAGAAATCTTTAATAAGCTAAAACATCGACCCGTAACCGAGACCGATACCACGTCAGTCCATACCAGTTCACGGAAGATGAACTTTTTACCTGCTAAAGTTAATCTTCATATTATAGAAATTTTTTTTAAATATACCTTCGGAAACTTAATTAGGCCTATGTACAGTAAACTAACGGAGTGCTACGAAATCAAACGGTCACCTGACCTAGATAAGGGAAAAGTGCAGCGACTTTACATAATGTTAGAGTCATTGGAACAAACACTGCATACGCAAGTATGTACACGTGTCTTTACTTACTTTACTTTACTTTACTTTACTTTGCTTTGCTTTACTTTACTTTACTTTACTTTACTTTACTTTACTTTACTTTACTTTACTTTACTTTACTTTACTTTACTTTACTTTACTTTACTTTACTTTACTTTACTTTACTTTACTTTACTTTACTTTACTTTACTTTACTTTACTTTACTTTACTTTACTTTACTTTACTTTACTTTACTTTACTTTACTTTACTTTACTTTACTTTACTTTACTTTACTTTACTTTACTTTACTTTACTTTACTTTACTTTACTTTACTTTACTTTACTTTACTTTACTTTACTTTACTTTACTTTACTTTACTTTACTTTACTTTACTTTACTTTACTTTAAATAAATCTTACTTTGCTCATCATAGACTTTATCAAATAAATCCAAGAAACAAAAGACACAACCACCACCAAGTGAAGAGAAAATGCACGGCTTGCAACATCAATTTATACCAGTCATTCGGAAACACCATCTTGACCGTGGGCTAAATTTAGACGTAGCATGGTATGAGCGTTGTAGCATTGTACTATATTCTGCGTTAACCGATTGGGTGGTATTGTATTCTATATTTAGGATGTATTTTTCCATACGTTCTGGCTATTGTGAAATGTTATTCTGGTAAGTGGATGCATGGCCTCGCCCTAATTTTTGCATACATATTTAGTAGATACTTTGTGTGACCCGAAAAACAAGCTTACGCAATGTTTGATAAAATATAATCAACAACTAGATTAGACCCTAACATCTTAAGTTCATGGAAATGTTGTCAGTAGATTTGTTATATTTTCGGCGTGGTCAAGTCGGTAAAGCTCATGGTTGCTAAACCGAAAAGCCTCGAACCCTCGGGCAGATGAGACTCGATATCTTGGGACATCAACTCTTCTTAGAGAGAAAATACCAAAGTCAAACAACTGCTGCATTGTGGTGTGTTCTTGGTTGGACAAAGGCTATGAAAGCAAAACCAAAAAGAAAAGCTGGCTAAACTCGGAGTCAACGGTCTATATGGCTCATAACACGCTGACACAATACTTAATTGTATTAGAGGGAATCCCTTCCAACTCTAGAATTAAGAACTAAGAAGAAGAAAGAAGAAGAACTTACAAATTCCAGTTCCGCAACCTAACTTAATTGTTCCACTTATTATATTTGAAATGGAATTTAGACTTCACATAAAATCTCCGAAATGTTTTGTTACAGTGTATGTTAGTTAGGTGACCACCCAATAACCACAATACTTTAAAAAGTAAATGAATATATAGCGTTGTCGCTCTTCCTGCTTTGTACGTGATTTGGAAAAAAAATTTGAGCCAAAAGTGGACGTCAGTTAATGTTTTTTTAAAGTTTTAAACTTCCTCATATTGATTTATTTAAAATGAGAACACTAATCAGGCCATCAAACGCATTAAAACTGTCGCCAAGTTCAAGTACTAAATTATAATAAATTGCGTCTCATCAATACATGTAAGTCTGCAGTTAATAACTGAAATATTTTAGAATAAATGAGTCACGTGCTTTGCAACCCGGAAGTATACCGTACCGGAAGTTCAAATTTAAAACTAAATTTAAACTTTCTCTCGCATTTTAAATTTTAAAAATTTTAAATTGTCAAAACAGACTGATCAATAAAGGTCTACCTAATTTCGACATGGATTTGCTAACATTGACTGTGACAGACGATTAAATCTGCATAACTGTGTAATCAATATAGCTAGAATAATTATGTCCTCTTTTATTCCAATTTTTTTTATTAAACGCAATATTCAATAAATAAATGTATGGTTAATGTGTGTGTGGGTGGGGGGGGGGGGCGGAAGGGGGCTAAGTATATGTGCGTAAATGTGACGATAGAGTTGCAGGGGGTAAAAAATAGGACAAGAAAAGAATGACATTATTCACATCAACTGCCTGATTTGGGTTGTACGACTACATCTTTTACTAGCTGCTTTTAGTCGACCCAGATCTTAAGCGTAAATCGCTCGATTCTGAGTGCAGGTAAAGACGATTGTGTTAACAAAAGATCTTCATATGCCAAAAGTAAAAAACATAAAGAACCGCTGCTCTCAAATCAAACAAACCTTGACCTTCATTTCGTAAAGTACACAATAGGCCAATACAGAAAATGTTTAATAACTTCAAAAGCATAGTTCTCCTCAAGTATTTATTTTGCTTATTTATTCCGCTAATTAACCGCGTTGTGTTTTTTTATTTTTTCACGCGAGTTGCGCGCAGGTTTACAAAGCACTTAGGCCTACAATCTTCATCCACACCATTCTAATTGGTTGCGCATTTTGACATCATGCTTTTTTTATGTTCCCATTTGTCTAAATATATTTGGTCTCGTGACGTATACAAACGGCAATACGTCATCACAATGATGGGTGAGTTGTGAAACACAACAACAGCACATTGTTGTTGTTTTTGTGTACTTGTTGGTGAGCACTTCAACAGCTTTTACTTAACTTAAGCATGTTTTCATACTAGTGTACAGGCATAAACCGGATACGCGCTGCGACTCCACCCCCTCCCTCATTAAGTTGCAAGTAGGTAGAGCTACAAACAGATGGCCGTATATCCCCCACTGGATGGCCACGAACAGATGGCCGTATATGCCCCACTGGATGGCCACGAATAGATGGCCATGTGTCCCATTGAATGATAAAGAACAGATGGCCTGGAAGAAAAAATTCAAACAACGAAATCGTAATATCTCATTGACCTTATTATAAAAGTCCATGATAATTAGGAAACTATTTTAAGCCATCTGATATTGGGCGGCGTGGTCAAGCAACCGTGCGTACGATTACATTCCAGAAGTACGACCTCGAGGATCGAATCCGTCCAACGGATCCATCCACTTGTTTTATGAACAACGTAAAATAAAGCTTAGCCTTGTCTTAATCCAAAATTTCTAGCTTATACTCGCGGTCATGAAAAGATAAACTCTACTACATCTGGTCTTGAAATCCCCATCTCTTTCTAAACAAGGAACCGGTTCAATAATTTGATGCTAATCTTGTGTCATCCTGCAGAGTCTTATGCATGCGTGTTGCCAGAATGGTTGTTAGCCCCGACCCTAACTATTACTACAACCCTAGCTCTTCTTCTTTATCGCTCTGTGGTCTCTGTGGAGCTAAGGGTTGCAGCCACACCGCCCCCATGAAAGAAATATAATTTATATACAAAATATATCCTTTTACCAGTGTAGGCCTACGCCCCCACCCGCCTCCGAAAAATTTAGTTCGACCCCCCCCCCCCCCCCGAAAATATCAAGTGCTTAAAGTCTGAAAGAAACATTGGCCACACCTCTCCACCGGACCCAGTTTTGGGCATCTCTCTATATTTATGTCCACGTAGCCATCCCCTAATCATGAACTCTAACCCTAACAGTGACCCATACCACCTTGATCACCATGTAGAAAAACTCATATTATTTTTTTACTATTATACATACTTGTATTGCAAACGTTGGAATTTATTGTAAAACTTGAAAAGTCTAGTCTACAAAAGAATTCACAAGAAATCAAGAAAGCTGTAAGTTTTGACAGTGGAGCAGGCAGGGTTTCTCTCCCCCCCCCCCCCCCCCCAATACACCATGTTAACGCCACTGACTACTGAGATAAAATGTAAATAAATATCCACCACCACAAGCCATAACCCCATTTTGTCATACAACATGATTCAAGCCCCCCCCCCCCCCCCTTTAACTCCATGTCAACGCCACTCACTACTGAGATCAAAATGTAAATAAATATTCCTCAAAACAAAAAAACCCCACTTATTTTGTCATCGGGGCGGCTCTACCCCCCCCCCCCCCACCTCCACGTCAACGCCACTGACTACTCTGATAAAAATGTAAATAAATATTCCTCAACACAAGCCATAACCCCATTTATTTTGTCATCGGGAGCGGTTCTAACCCCCCCCCCCCCCCCACACACACAAACACAAACACCTCCACGTCAACGCCACTGAGATAAAAATGTAAATAAATATTCCTCAACACAATCAAAACCTCACTTTGGCACCGGCACGCGCCCCAAGTGTCTCTCACCGATCAGGAGACATCGCCGATGGCACCGCCTCCACTTTGGCTAATTAATTAGCGCGCGTAACATCCCATTCTCGCCGTTTTGGTGTGATCCCCCCCCCCTTCCCCTTCAAGCAGCTGTGGGTCAAAGTCACTCAAGTATTTGTTCAAAGCCTGGGGGTCACGGAGACCTGGGACATGAAACTAGGCTAATGGCTGCATATAGGCAGGTGGTGGGGCTGGTGTTTGCATTCACGTGAAATTAATTAACGATGCCCCAGATTAAGTGGTAATTAATTAAGCTGGAGGCTACAGATTCTAAACTAAAGCTTTTTATAACCAGGTGGACATCATTACATATCAGCACACACATATATATATGAGTATGTGTTAATTCTGACGAAGGCATTGGGTCTGGACATTATTTAACAAGTATATTTTTAAGACATGATTAATTCCATTTTTTTTTAGAATTGATTTAATATACGTATAATTGCGCATATTCCTGTAAACATAGCTAATTTATTAGTTTTTGAGTTAAGCAAACATGGTTTAAAAACAGGTTGTCATATTTTTCTTTACATCAATCTCGGAGGGTGGGGTGATTTTAGGAGTGAGAAAGTTTGTTTAAAATTATAGTGTGGGAACTAGAAATTTTCGTAGCCTCGCTATTGCGATACATCGTTTCCAAAACAAAGACTGCAAAACATTCCCTATTATAGATACCGAGGCCATTAAATGCCCCCCGGGGTCATCATAGGCCCCCAGCCATCACCCCCCCTCCCCTCAAGCCATGATCAGCACCCAGCCACCAGCCGCCCATCCCCACCCCAATTATCACAGACCCCACCGCGGGTGTAACAATAAACAGACAGGGCGTGGCGTATCATTAGCGATCCATAGGCCCACACAAACCACCACACGTACACTCGGTCCCCTTTTGATTCCCCCCCCCCCCCACCCCGTATTTGTTGCTGCAGACACCATAATCGTGTACACCTCCCCAAGACGTGTTTTGGTAGCGGACCTCTTGAAGGTTGTTGGTATTTTGATCTACTGGCATTTGAAAAAAAAAATAAACACTAACATATACCTAGAGGCTAACTCCTAACCAGTAGCGTAGCGAGGGGGGGGGGGACATATGTCCCCGGGCGCCGACCTTAGGGGGCGCCAAAATAGGTTGGAAAGATAAATTGAAAGGTTGAGGGTGGTGTAAATCGAAAGTTTGAGGGGGGGGGGTGCAAATGGAAAAGTTTGTCCCCGGGCGCCTGGAAGGGTCGCTATGCCTCTGCTCCTAACACAATTACTCACACAAGGATACGGTGCATGTGTTTGCAAAATGTAGCGTCATACGAAAGAATACCAAGAAACAATAGGCTTGTATGGTTTAAAAAGTGTATCCGCCTCTATACTACTCA